TAAATATAGCAACGGCATTGGGGTTCTTCTCTAGAATGTGTATTCTGCAATCACTGGAGATGCTGGAGTCTGAACACCATTTGGTGACTACGTTAAGCGTGGAGTCGTGGCCGGGGGCGTTGCAAACCACCCAGAAACATATCAGAGGGTGGAAGATGAAGATCGGTCTAGAGGCGGAGATGGGATTTCCCGTGAGCGAAGCTTATGGTCTGCCTGTAAATGCAAAGTTGTTGGTGGGATCAGTAATGGCCAACCTATGTGGGAGCCATTATCCATTGCACATGGCAATGGTGGAGGTATCCAGCCAAAGGATACTAGTGGATAAGGCTTTCTCGGTACCCAAGTGCGTACGACTGGCTCGAATGTCACGTCATTCACATAGGCTCTTGAGGAAGATCCTAGGAACAGTGCCAAGGGCACAAAGAGATGACTTGAGTGAGATCTGGGAAGAAGAACTCTTGAGCTTGGGGGACGAAAACACGAGTGATTTTGAGAAACAGAATGCCATCGGGAAGCCGATGAATAGTGTTCCAGCGCAGGAGGAAAACGATATGACGCACGAGAAAATGTTGGAACTGGAGCCTCTGCTGGAAGCCTTGGAAGAACGCAATCTCCGAAGCATAGAGATTACAATTGGGGAATGCCCATGCCACTGCTTGGCACAGACAGTGTGGTACCCGGAGCACTCAAACCTTTGTTTAGTATGGGATGTAGAAGAAATTCCGTCAATCGGGTTACCCGATCATCACCAGAAGGTGACCATCTTGGTAGTAGTACGATGATAGCATTACGATGGATCGAGGAAAATGTAACGAAATATAGGGTGTCGAAGACACCAACGGCGGAACCGATATACGCTATAGATTACAGCAGGAGACTTGAGTTGTTTGAGACTGTATGCAAGGTATTCGCTATACCAATGGAAGTCAGGCACGTATGGAGCCGCATAGGGTTCTTTCCGTGGTTCCGAGCGACGTTAACATCTTGGTTGTACATAGCGACGAAATATCACATGAAGAAATATCAAAAGGAATATCGACAGTTCCTGGCGGAAATAGGTCCGGAAACCTTCAAGAGACCTCTGCTGACCCATCGAATTGCGATCACAACAGGTTGGAAAAGAGTCGGTAGGGTGTCTAGAGATAATACCAAAGCAAGAGAACCGATACTGGAGGAGGACTTGGCGAAGAACGTGAGCTTCAGCCTGCACAATTCCTTTTGCTTGAACAGGGAATTGAAAATGAGAGGTTTACCGAATCAAGCAATGAGGTTGCAGGAGCAGAAGGAGTGGATGCGATCCTTCGAACAATTGAGAGCATGGGAAGAAATCGTGATCAGCTCTGATGATGAGGAAGCGCTACTAAGGCAGATCACGGTGTCAAATTCATCGGGTCCTAGCACTTTGAAGGCTAGGAATACAAAGTGAGCCGGGAGCTCAATGTGGGTTTCTTGAGTCTTGGGAGGGAAAAGAAAGGGCTCGAGTGTGAACTCAGATGAAATCCGAGATCACGAAAAAGAAATTTTAACGAAACAGAGTATTGTTATTTATATGCTATAGTTATTGTATAAATCAAAATGTTGCATGACAATTTCCTGATTGGATAAAACAAAAGAAATTTTAATCATAAGCTTCAAAAGCGAAGATTTAAGGTGCAGGTATATGAAAATTTTGATTGCTATTTAGCGATAGTTTGACAATTTTATATGGTTGTGAATTTTGGGGTGTAGATAAACTTAAGTCTGCTGCAAAATTCTGTAAATGAACACTGGCACCGTATCTTGAGCAACACTCGGTATTCTGGGGATTCACTGGCAGGCGGCAACACGCGATGAGGACTCTGTTCTTGAGATAAAACTTGTTCGATTAGAACTTACTGAAACAAACTTAATTTCCCGATTATTCTCAAGTTGCTTACTAATTTAGTTACCTCTAATTCTCAAGTGTGCTGGTATGTGAGTACCCAATTTAATTTTCTTGAGTGTATTTTATGATTGTTATGTTGAGGTAAGGAGATTTTTAGGTTGATCCATCTGAAATGAATCAAAGTTCCACTGTCTAATAAAAAGTAACTGTACGGATTGTTCCGACCCTGTCTTTAACGGCGTTCGTGTATTTTGGGTATTTTGAGACCTAAGTATGGGGACAATTTTATTTTCTAGAGTGGGGGGGGGGTATTTTGGTAGTGGCCTTTAAGCTGTAACGGGTTTTTAGTCTCATGTCGCAAGTGAACCGAATTGGCTCCGACCGTTCGAGGTAGAAAAACACAAGAGATAGTGTCCCTGACTCTTGAGCCAATGGTTATAGGGCCTATTTTTCTTTAACCTTATATGTGACCGAAGCCGGCGACTGTTACACACGGCTGATGGTAGTCCTTATGTAACAGTCGCCTATTTTAGTCACATATGAGGCTAAGAAAAATAGGCCCTATAACCATTGGCTCAAGAGTCAGGGACACTATCTCTTGTTTTGTTCTACCTCATGCTGTTGGAGCCAATTCCGTTCATTTGCGACATGAGACCACAACCCGTGTTACAGCTTAATGTCTACTACCAAAATACTACCACTCTAGAAATCAGAACGCCCCCATGCTCAGGTCTCGAAATACCTAAAACACGCCAACGCCGTTAAAAACAGGGTCGGAACTTTATGTATACCGTTAGTATTTCTTAGACAGTGGACCGTTAATCCATTTTAGATGGATCAACCTAAAAACGCTCCTTAACTCAACTTAATCACAGAAAACACACTCAAGAAATTTACATTAGGTACTCACATACCGACACGACCTCTGGAATTGAATAACTAAAATGTAAAGCAACTCTAGAATTAATTTAAGGTAATTAAGTCTAACTCGAGAAGTTTTGAATAAATAAGTTTGAACTCAAGGAAAATTTTTTCTATCTGGACTATTGGCAGCTTCAGCTGTCCACTTTTCCACTCAAGGCTCACTCTGGTACAATCGATTGTTTTTCTCTCTGTCTTCCTGCACACTTGTTTATCCTACCGGGAACAAGATAGCTCTACTCGCGTCGTGTAATTCCAGTAAAATTGCGAACAGTAATTTTACTCTAGTATTTTTCAGCAATTTTCACGCGATTCTCACTCGAATCTTTTGATCGCTTTTTTTCGTATTTTCAGTTGCCGCGAGAAACTTCAGCATGATATGCTCAATTCGAAATTTTGAAAAAAAAAAATTTCCACAAAGTTAAGATAAAACGTTCAGCTCAAGGTCAAACTTCCAAAAAATGACCGACTGGCACAGTACCAAATGAAACCCAGAAACTGCTTTAAAATTCCCTGACTGGACTTTTTTCTCTAAGCATTGTAGAGATTATGAAGATAGGAAAGCTTGAAGTGAGTGAAACCGTGTTGTTTGCATATTAGATTTCTTTATCCTTTGTAGACACATTTCTCAAAAACTCTGCTCCCTATGTTCAGCAATGTGATAGGTCTGTAGTTGCCACATTAGTTTGGTGAGTCCTTTTTTTTTTAACTGTGGACTGATACGACCATCTACCCAGTCACTTGGAAAAGAATTCAGGCGCTTGATGTTGCTGAAAAGCGCGCTGAGTGATTTTGAAAGAGACTGATGTAATTTTGATCAGAACGGGCGTTAGTTTTTATAACTTGTTGTTACAACAAGTGTTTGTAGAATTTGTTCAATGAGATCCCAGGACACATCATAGTCACTGCAGTAAAAAAAAACTAAATTACAAAAGAGGCCCTTCCGTTTAGTTACGGTAAGTGCACAAGCTGGATAGGGCCATACCAGCGTTATAAAAATGCATATATATCAGCAAGCTGTATCATTTCATCAATGAAGTCATAAATCAGCATTAAATGCATCGTCGTAATGTTAATTTAATTTAGCCGTCCTTGCTCTGCAATAGCGCTAATGGAGTTGTCGATAAATTGAACTTTGCGCAGCGATCTGCACCCCCTTCTACATAGTATAGAGCTACTCAGCAGCGCGAAGCTTATTTTAGTTCTTCTGTAATTTATCGATTCTGGATAATTTATCGATTCGGACCGTCACTGCAGTTGGCGAATCATCATAGATGTTGTTATCATTGATCTCTGCAGATTGTCTGGTGAAAAAGATTGGTGAAATACTCGTTAAGAAATACCATTCTGTGCAGGTGTTTTTTTTCTCAATCTGGTTGAATTACTTCCCAACAATCTGACTCTCTATTTTTTCACGTTTTATTTTACTTTTCCCTAAGTTATGAAATTCCAATGTTTTTTCTGACTTGGTAAAGTGATAGAGGACTTGTGAAGTAACTTCGGTAAAAAAGGGGGTCAAGATAAATTGGCCCTTCCGTCATGCGACGGTCCGTGCATAGATTGGATAGGGCCATACTAACGCTATATAAATACATCGGCAAAGTTTTATGAATAAATCAAGTCGATTTTAAAGCATCCAGAGAAGTGTCAACTTCGTAACTTTGTCAACCAGTAACTTCGGTTACCATGATCATTTTTGACGGTCTGATTCATTAATATTGCTTGTCTTGAAATACTTGAAGTTCTTAGAGAAAAGGTTTATTTTCTTTTTTTAAGCATAGTTTTACGCCTGAACTGGCATATACTTTTGCATCTGATGTGAGGCGAAGCTCCGCCTCGCCCCAGTGCAGATTTTTATGCTTTTCTTAAAAGCTATTCCTTAGATTCTGGCGATAGATATTCTCCAAGTGCGCGAAGGAATCCGTCTTTACTAATTTTTGAATCGAAAAACCAGACACGAATTCATTTTTCGGACAGCCCTCAAAAAACGAATTTTAGCCGTTATGTGGAGATACGTCAACGAACAATTTGCCAGCAGCAACATGTGCACATGGCAGCTGTGCTGTGATTGTGCTAGTTGTCGAACTATATGGACAATCTTCTAACGCATGAAAACTGGAGGAAAATACCCTCCAGTTTACTGGGAAGTCAATACAAAAGCAACATCAACAATTTTGGTGGTTGTCTACACTTCTCTGATAACTTTTGCAGTTTATTTTCAGATATGAAAGATCTGTAGTTATGTCTAGTGCTATAGTTTCTCTTTCACATAGTCAGCATCGAAAGCACGTACTCGGTCGTGCTGAGCTCAGAAACGACTATAGTCCTGCAGTTCGTAATACTTGGACTAGAGTTAACCAAACTCGGGAGGTAAATAATAAACAAATAATAACCGACTTTTACGCATAGTTAATTCAGTTAAATTTTTTCTCTAAAAATTTTAATTAAAAAAATGAATCAATTTTACGAATGACAAATAAAATTTGTTGATTGAGTAAAAAAATTTGATATCATTTGAGTTCAGTGAATATTGCGGTCTTAGGTTACATTTGTTATTCATCATCACATTTGTTTGTGTATACTTTAGAATGTGGAATATCGAAAAGTACAGGTCAGCAAAAGAAAAGGATGGAAAACAGTGCGAATTTTTGTATCCTCCACGTTCCTGGATTTCCACTCTGAACGAGAATGCCTTGTAAAAATTGTGAGTTTCGCACTTTTCATAAGTTATCGTTTTAGTTGCCGAGTGAATTGAAGTTATACTTTTAGGTGTTTCCTCAACTGCGATCATGGTGCGAACAGCGAAGAATTCATCTCATTGACTGCGATTTGCGATGGGTGATTAACATTTTTACTTAACGAAGCTAAAATGGTTGTGTGACCAAAAGGAAACCTAAAAAATCCAATTGATGTGATTTTTCTAATTTTGACTGAAAGGGCTCTAATATGATATATAACTCAACTCTTTCCGATGATTACTTGTGGTAGCTGATTTTGCGTGGAAAACAAAAAGAAAAACTAAAACACACCCGAATACAAAGTTCCTTCACATTTTTCAAATAATGGTCGGAACAAATAAGCATTGGCAATTGAAAAGCATGTTTTGCATCTGCTATATTGGTGGCTAGTAATTGACGGTTGTCAATCGAACATGGCGCTGATGCGAAGATGTGATGCTCATAATGTTCAGGTCGGGGGTTTGATTCCGCCTCAATTCGAAGATTCTAGTTTTCTTACTTATTTCCTTTTTTTTCACTTTGAACTTTTTTAGAACTACTTTGCACCGTTTTATTGCTTTTGTTTATCGCTGTGCTAAAAATGTGCTATCGCGCGGGGTACCTTGCAATTAATATAAATGCATACATGCATTTGAAAATGAATTCATAAATGTTTTAGTGTTTTTCGTAATATCTTAATCTATACTAGGGCTTTTGAGCAATCGAGCAGACTTTTTCTAAAACACATTCAAATTTTCTGAGAGCCGCAATGTAGTTTTGTTGCAAATTTGAGAGGTTTATTGATCAGTGAAATTCTTTAAGCGAGATGAAAAGTGTTGATCATAGATATCGGCAAAGTTTGACCTCATTTCAATGTTTCTAGGGTGTGCCCAAAGACTCAACAACAGAGACTACAATGAGGATGTGTCTGAGCGAGATTGACAGGTGCCGACAGGACAATTACTACCCCTTTTTCCTCAATATGACCAGTGAGAGATGTGGGTGGGTGCCGAGTGAGGCCGAGGTGCCTCCTGGGGTCCGTGAGGACTACCAGTGGGTGTTCGGACTCTCAGTCACGGAGATGGAGATCATGCATGCTAGCTACAGATCAGACAACCCCAATGGTATGAGTCACTCTTTAAGTCGTTCGTCTCTGAATTTGAAGTAAATGAGGCAAGCTTAGCGCAGCATATTGCTAAGTATTCCTCTTTCTGATACCTACCTAGTAAAGAGTTTCCACGACCAAACAGATTTAATTCAACGGTGTATACGATTCTCTATTTTAGCTATTTTCATGCTGCGAGAGAGTTCGTTCCTTGAAGACATTCCCGAACAGTACCAGTCGATGTTCATAGAGAACAAACTGGAATCGAGGCACAAGCTGATGATGCTGAAGCGTCAGCTGATGAGCGTCTTCCCAAAGGAGAGAGTACAACATTACAGTTGCCGGTATGAGGGCATCGACCCTACCTCACAGCTTGTGAAACTGTCGGGCTTAGATGAATTTGGACTAAAGGTAAAAATAAACGCTTAGTGCAGCATTAAATCTTCAATTGGCGGTGAAGCTCACTCGAATTGCAAGAACACAAAAATTCAAAAAAAGTTTATCGTTTTGTTTTCAAAGCCGTCATTATTTTACTGAGTTGTGAAGTGGTCCGTCGTTGCTTTTTAGCCTTGAAAATTGATTTTAAAAAAATTAATTATATATATATCTTATATTATTAAAGCGAAGTGTGTATAATGTAGCATTTTAATGTCATGCGTAGGTGTACAAATTCTTCAAGGAGCGAATCGAGGAGCAATACCCCCTCGAGGAAATAGAGATGGACCAGTACTCACACCAGAACGAGATGCACACCTCCTTCATGGAGAACAGGGCCGCCTCCATCATCGGCAGAGGAAACATCCTGAAGGCAGTGGACGACTTCATCACGGAGGGTACCGCAACAGCGCCCTTCGTCATTCTGGGAGGTCCTGGACTGGGGAAGTCGTCAGTGATGGCGAAGATAGCGGAGGTGTACCATGGGAAGTCAATGAGAGGAGAGCTCCCGAGGTTAGTAGTTAAGTCTCTTGATTAAGAGTAATGAACGTAGTGAAAATAATGATGCACTTAGGTATATATGCACTTTTTGAGTTCAATTAAAAGTCAGCTGCTGAAAGTGACGTAAATAGCACTCTCCAAATACGAACGTGGAATTGGCGCGAAAAAACGTGAACGATTTCTAGTTTCGAAAGTGGAATTTAATTTGTAGATTTCCAGCGGAATAAAAACATTACCTATTGATCCAGTTTTCTCTAGTTGTGTTCATGTTATCCAAAAAGCGCCAGTCATAGACTGTTCTAGATAATCAAAGAGCTTAAAGCGCATCTATTTTTTTTCTTTGAAAATCGAAAGTTGTTTTACAAGAAAGTCTTGCGGTTTTTTCAAGAAAGTCTTCAAGAAAAAAAGCGTTTTTTTTTAATGTTTTCTTGCGTACATCACTTTTTTCCAATCTTCGATTGGCTATGTTAGTGAATACATTTTAATTCACTTTTTAGTGTTTAAGTCTCTTGATATTGAAGACATTTTAATTCACTTTTGGGTGTTTAAGTCTCTTTTCATAAATAAACTTTCATTTTTTACGGGTACTTCAAATCGAAGAAAATTCTGATGAGACGAAAACTGTGATTACAAATTTCTTTCTTCAATGTTTTAGGCTAATGTGTATTTTAGTCACTTCGACCAGCCCTGCAACGTGTTCTATCACTTTGTGGGAGCAACTCCAGGATCCACAGATGCTCAGTTGATGTTGAAACGACTTCTTAAGGAGATGAAAGTGTGCAACGTAAGCGAATATATATATATATATATGCCATCCATGTTTCTCAATCATTCTATCAAAAATAAATCTGACTGCTGTAGTTGTGGCATGGAAACTGTTTTCTTAAGTCCGCGTTGTCAAGTCTTAGATACTGCTAATTACTGGTTAAAAGGGTGACTGAGATTTCATTTGTGGACTGTTGTTTTTTAGATCGAATCCCTGCGTGACGCGATACCACATGGCTTGTTTGCAAGTATTCGATATTGCCCATTTTAAAAAACAAAACTGGAATTATCTTGTGCATTAGAATGTTTTATCACGCAACAAGAGATCGGCAAATACACTGAAATTATTTTCTCATTTTTTGATATCATACAGTTTGTGCAAGAAAGTCTGCAACGTTTTTATTTGGGCTCTTTACCAATAAATTCTTGCCCCAAGCTACTTACGAACAACGTAGATCTCCCAAGCGGCAAGTTTTTAAGAGTCGAGGAATGTAATTCAGACTCTTATACAGGTCGCGATGATTTTTTTTCTCGTTTTTTTTTTCAGGAAAATTTGCTCAGGGTCAACTTTACTTTTTCGCGGTTTAACTCTTGATTTCTTTTCAAGTTGAGTTCATTTCCTTTCTCAAAAGGAAGACTATCTCCACTATCGAACAGCAAAAGTCACGAAAAACGTGATCGGCTTCTAGTTTCGAAAGCTGAATTTAGTTATCGATTTTCCCAGCGAAATAAAAATTTAATCTATTGATCCCGTTTAGTCAAACTGGGTTAGTTTTATCAAAAAAGTGGCAATCATAAATTGTTCCAGAACTTAAAAGAGCGTTAAGACCATCTATTTTTTCTAGGAAATTCGAAAGTTAAGATTATTTCAAAAAACAAGTCAGTATTTTTTTTCTGTTTACTTGCGTTCATTGACTCTTTTCCAAATGTCTGTCGGCTATGTTTTTATTTTCGGGGAAGTGTGTCTTTAATTCGCTCCGGGTTGTCTTCCGAAATGCGCTCATTTGCTGTACAATGGCTGATTTGCATTTAATTGAACAGGACGAGAATATGCCTGTCGGCTGGGACTTGATATCACAGACTGTGTTCTCTGCCTTCGACAACGAGAACACCGCACCCTGTATCTTAGTAATAGATGCAGTGAACCAGCTGGACAATGCAGACTCACAGTCGGTCCTCGCCTGGCTCCCGTTCCAACACAAACCCCAGATCAAGGTATGCCATTCCGCACAATTAGGGAAAACTGAAAAGTATGAAGTGAATGTACTTATGTAGGAGTTTACACTTGCGGACTTAAGCGAGCGTAGTCTAATAGGACGATTATTCTTTTTCAACCTAAGTAGCAAATATGGGACTGGAAATATTGTGATTTACGGTGATTAGTATTAAGTTATCACAGTTACTGCATTGGTAATTGATCAAATGAACCGAAAAAAGCTATTTGTTTCAAACCACAGTACAATAATAAAGATTTGATTCTGAGAAATTTTTGAGATCAATATATCTCGCAATTTTTTTGAAATGCATAATTTATTACCCTTGCTATAAGCAAAGGTATTGCAATTGGGTGCTAGGCTTTTTTCCCGTAAATAACTTTGTTCACAGGACTCATCTGGACTCGTGGTACCTTGGTTCATAATGAATCCAATTTTCTTAGTGTCTCCTGCACACTTAGCCTGCAGGTAACGAATACGCCTGGTACGGCAAAGTTCTTGGGTTCGAATGTTACTAGGGCCTGTTTTTTTTTCAAACGGTAAATATTCCGGTTCTAAAAAATTTCTCCCTATTATTTGTCTGCTCATGTTTTGTCAGCTTAGTTGCAACATGTAAGAATCGTTTTTTCCTGTAAACAGTTTTCCCTGTAGTTGCTTTAAGTGTTTTGGCATTTCAAAAAGCCGACCGAATCGAAATTTGTTTTTTTTTTACCTTGGCTGTAATTTTACAACTCAATTTTTCAAAATTTCTTTTTGTTTCTTTTGTCTTTGTTATCGGCTAAATAAGTTTCAGCCTAATTTAAATCGACTTAGTGGCCTTTTATTGCGTCGCTTGGGAAGCGAAAAAAGTTTTTGTGTGCGTACGTGTGCTCTGATGGCAAAAGAGACATGAAATTTTTTTATTAGCTTAGAAATTTTTTTGGCGTGAAAGGTTTCTGCTCAGGTATTTTTGCCTTTGTTCAACTATAAATTCAATCAATCATCCGGCGCATCTGGCCTAAAACTGCTTGAAACCCCTAAGGATTGCGGTTCGAATCCGGCCGGGACCTGTTTTTGTTGCAAATAGATTATTTTCGGCTAATTTAGATTCTTGTCGGTCTGTTTATTTTCGTCAGCTTAGTTCCGCAGAATTGATTTTTTTGAAAATTTGTTTTTTAAGCTCTTTGTCAAGTGTCTAATGAGTGTCTAATTTTGTTTCGGATACTTGGTCTTTATTTAAAATTTTTCGTTGACAAAAACGATTTTTTGATTTTTATTTCAATTTTTTTTGCGTTTGATTTTAATCAGAGTCATTCATATTTGTATCGCAAGTTTTGCCCAGCTTTGCCTATATGTGAATCATTTGATATAAAAAAGCTTAACATATGCACTTGTTTAAGCTTTTTTATAGTCAGAGCAAACTTTAGGTGATAATGTCGATGATCAACGAGAGTTCGCCTCACAAGGTGCTGCAGAAGCGAATGAACAATGTGACCGAGTACCCAGTGCCTCCTCTGGACAAGACTGTCAGGCGTCAGATAGTAACAGAACTGTTCGAGAAGTACAACAAGATTCTGGTGGATGAACACATGGAGATGTTGTTGGCAAAGGAGTCCAGCGAGAATCCTCTGTGGTTAAGTGTGGCTTGCGAGGAGTTGAGAGTGTTTGGTCAGTTCCAGAAGATCGCAGAGAAGATAAAGAGCATCGAAGACGATTTGCTAGGGTGAGAAAAGGATTTATTTAAAAGTTAAGCAGCCAGAGAGCCTAAGGAGGCTAACTATTAACTATGTAAGCTTATCTAAGAACCTTAAAAGAAGTCACCTTGCAAGTCGCAACTCACATGTGATTTCGAACACGCTATCATAAAATCACTAGTCAAGTATCACTTCCAATACACTAACATCGGCACCAAATTTTAAAAAATATTCATCGAATTAGTGATTACGAAAATCTTTCAATTTTGTTGGGTTTCAATGAAAATTAGTAGTTGACTATATATTCTCTGATGATTTTGATGCTTTTTATGAGTTTTAATTCATTATTTACTGGTCTTTGAAGTTTTTTGGATTCAAATCGATGCTTTCGAGCAGCATTGAAGAACTTCAATTGCTTTAAGTTCAGCGAAATCATTGACGCCAATAAACCCACATTATATGATGAACCTGGCTGAAAAAATAATCTGATCTTCTAATTGACTCGAATAAAAAAGATGGTTTGTCAGAACTGACTTGTCTATGTTTTGATTTGCAGCCTACTTGGCCAAGTTTTGAAGCGGTTCGAGGTTGAAATCGGAGGGAGGCTTCTAGTGGCCACTCTCTGTCTCATAGAGTGCTCCAGACACGGTCTGCTGGAGTCTGAGTTGTTGCAGCTGCTGGCCGATGAAGACAACCTGTTCCCTGAAGAGTATGCACAGAGGTTCAAAGATGACACTATTGATGACTACGTTGAAAGTGTAGGCAAGTTGATGTTCAGTTCAAAAAGTTTTAATGAATTTTTTAAATTATTTTAATGAACGAGCTAAGTTGCTCTTAAGTTTACTAAGTTTGCTAAATGAGCTGAAAGAAAAAATAAGTCTTGTCTATACAGAAGCCAAATGAAAAGGGAAGGCAACTGATTTTGTCAATATAATGAAAGGCAGATAAGCTTTTGATTATTTCGAGAGGGATAATTTAGTTGTGTGTAATTATTTAGAAGATGCAGACCCGGATGACCATGTGATCTCGTCTGAAGCAACGAAAGGGGGAGACAGACTGCCTTATATTAAGTGGTCCAAAGTGTACCACGCCCTCAGGACATATTTGAGGCCATTTGGGGAGTCGGGTGAGGGCAGATTGGACTTCTACCACAGGTCACTCAGCAAGACTGTGCGCAGAGCGTAAGTTATCTTGGCCTTGTTTGCGACAAAATGTTAAAGTTCGGATAAAAAACTGACATAAAGACTGATTTTTGATTTTTGCATTCATTCGAAATAAGACATTGTAATCAGAACACATAAAAATGTATTGGATAGTTCATAGAGCCAGAAATCATATTTATTCGTTGCCTGTTGAGAAATTGTGTCATAATGAAGATGTAAATAACTGAATGTTTCAGATACTTCAAAACTGAGACAGGCGAGGACAACACCAAAATGTACAACTGGTGGTACCTCAAACTTGCTAACTTCTTCGAAAAGTCTTCCAACATCGCCCGAAAGGTCGAAGAGTATCCGTATCAGCTACGTAACATCGAGGACAAAGAGCGGCTCAAAGAGGCTCTTCTGGACTGGGATGTCACCGACCGAATGTTCAACGAGGAGTACAGCAGTGAGTTGCTGTCCTATTGGAGATTCGCAGTGCCTTCTTTCGAAGAGATAAAAGACGCGTACAAGAAGAAACTCGAGAGTCTGATCAAGTCTTTAGATGATAGTCCGGAAGCTAGGGAGATCATTGCTCTCAGGAACGAGAACGTCGGTAGGATTCTGATTCAGGCAGGGAAATACGCAGACGCTTTGCAGCTAATAGAGACAGCCATGCATTATGAGAAAGAAGAGCTAGGTTCGAGACCCGAGCGAATGGCAGCGTTGCATGAATCGCTAGTTATGGTCTGGGATGGCATTACCAAACTGCATGGATACTACAATCGTGACCAAATTTACGAAGTACGCCCCTTGATCGAAAATGCCAGAGCTGCTATTAAGATTCGTAAAAAGCTCACTGGCAGAGCCAATCAGTATAAACTGGGTTTCGATTACATAACCTTGGCCTTTCACATGAAAGGCTGGACTTATTTGGGCGGAACTACATGGTTATCTCGAGGAGCTGCTGAACAAGAAGCGAAGGCACTGATCAAACAAGGCGTGCAAGTATTCAAAGATCTAAACGATGCTGGAAAGCTGGCCGAGGCTATAATGACTGACGCGGTGATTATGAACTCAGGTAATATGCAGATCGAGAGATACAAGGAAGCCGAACATCTCTGTGCACACGCTTTGGGCGAGAAGAGTTTCTTGATGACGAGGATCTGCAACAACATAGGAATTTCTTACGAAGAGTCAAGACAGACTGACAAGGCCTATGACTATTTCAGGAAGTGGTACTTCAACTGCGTCGATGTAAGTGAAATTTTCGAAGATCAATTAGTTTATGGATCTCTGTTATTAAGAGTTAATAAACGTAGTTCAGACTCATATATAGATCGCGGTGATTTTTTTGTTTTTTCAGAAAAAGTTTTCAGGCTCAAACATTTTTTCGCGGTTTGACTTTTGATCCCTTGTTAAAATGAAGGCAAACTCAGCTATCGAACACTGAAAGTGTTAAGGTCACGAAAAACGTGATCGACTTTTATTTTGAAAGTGGAATTTTCTTTTTAAGAGGAATAAACGTAGTGAGTACTCTTAAATAGGTCTTGGTGTTTTTTATGTTTCAGGAAAAAGTCTTTAAATTTTTAAATTTGTTCACGCACAATTTTGATTTTTCGCGGTTTTTTTTTGAAGTTCAGTGCATTTCCATTTTTAAAAGAAAGAAAAACTTCTTTATCGAACAGCAAAAGGTTAAAGGTCACGAAAAACGTGATCGACTTCTAATTTCGAAAATGGAAACTAATTATCAGATTTCCCAGCGAAATAAAATTTTTACCTATTGATCCAATTTTCTCAAGTTGGGTTAGTTTTAACAAAAAAGGGTATACCATAAATTGTTATACAAATTCTAAGAGTTTTAAGGCCATCTGTTTTTTTCTTTGAAATTCAAAAGTTGAAGGTTTTCGGAAAAACAAGTCAGTTGGCTATGATCAGATTTCCAGTTGAAAGAAAATTACCTTTTAATCCAGTTTTCTCTAATTGGGTTCGTTTTGTCAAAAAGGTGCCTATCATAAATTATTCAGGTAATTCAAAGAACTTAACGGCATCTTTTTTCTTTGGTTCGAAAGTGAGATTTTTTCTAAAAACAATTCAGTAATTGTTCTGTTGCTTGCTTTCATTGACTTTTTTCCTACTGTTGGCTAATTTCTGTTTTTTGTAATCATTGCGTTAAAACCTCTTCGATGATGTTATTTTGAACAACATTTTAATTTTACAGGTGTTTGGGGCGACACATCCAAAAACCAAGAAAGCGTATGATGTATTACATGAGCCGATGTATAAGCGAATTGCCTCTCAAAGAGGCGATGAAGTTCCAGAGTAAGTATACCTTAAGCGTGTGTGATTTTATGATCTTAAAATCTTTTTAATATTTTGCGATGCTTTGAGAAAATGTTCAGGGTGCGTTTTTACGTTACGTGCTTCGGTTGTAGGTATGCCTTTGAGAATGACGTGGACGAGATTCCGACTGTTAACAACAATCAGAATAACCAGCAGGTGACACAGCAGCCGGAGCCCGAGGAAGACTCGGACTCGGAAGATGACGAAAGTGAGTATTCAGACCAAGAGGAGGAGGAAGAGGAAGAAGCAGAACCTGATTACGAGGATGATGAAAACGGGGAACCTGAACCAGAAGAGGCAGAGGAGTCGGTAGCAATATCGCCTGGGACTGAACAAGAAAGTCCGTCGCCTAATGAGCAGGAACAGCAGAACATAACTGCTGCGATTGAGAATGTAATCCTGGAAGATGCTGAGGATCCCAATATCCAATTCAACTCTCAAATGGATTCAGAAGAGGCGGAGGATGCAAGTGATAACGTCGATGAAAACGAAGAGGAAGCGTAAAACGCAATTCGTTAAAGAACCCACAAAACATCTTGACACTTTCCTAGGCGCTAATTAAAGAATCCAATACCCCATATCATTCGATAATCAGTTGTTACTGAATACTGATTTTTTTTCTGTAACACGATTGCACTAATAGTTGAACTCTTCTGAACTTATGTCATTGACACGAGATTCTGATTTGCAGTTTGTCTTCTCGGTTTCTATTTCTCAGTGTGTAACACGACTGCCGCCAATTCCTCAAAGGTTCTGTAAATTTTTGTACCAAGTGCAAAATTTTCCGGATTTAATCGTCACATTTTTGCTATGAGTTTGAATTGTAAAAAGATAGTTTCTTGATCCCAATAGATACTAATTATCAGTTGAAATTTACTTAGTTTCATGCTACATGTACATATTTAGCCAAATCTAGAAGAATTCTGTGATTGCAATTTGCTGTTTTCCAAGATAGTGTCAGGCCTCATTGTAAAAGAAGTAGAAATATTCGGTAAAGTTTCCGCAGTGAAGGTAGAAAATGTCTGCTTGAAAGCGATTTGATTTTTGGTGAGCCATTGATCAACTGAAGCTTAGCAGCTTTTTTTTCCTGTAAGCTTGTCTAATAAAATCACTGAATCATTTGTTAGCTTGTCATTTAGAGAAAAGGTAATGTCTTTGCTTTGGACAGCAAATATCGGGGGTCGGATATGGTCAGGACCTTTTTTGCAAACTTACTTTTTCTTCTTCGAAAAAAGTTGAGAACTATTGCTTTCCTGCTTCGGTCGGATCGGTAGGGTTTTCTTTAAGATAATATACGATAGTTATCTATGATTACAAATAAACTTGTGTTAATGAACGATGTTTTTCTCACATATTAAGGACATGCTTTTCTTTCAGGAGAATTCCTAAAACTTGCTCACGCTCTTTGATATTTCCTGATTGATTGATTTTTGATTTCCTCAATTCAATGTGAATTCATTTGCGGATGGAAGCCTAATCAATTTGTTCAATAACGCGATTGACTTTTGGTTCGAAATGGATTTCAGTTTTTACACAAGCGAAGCGTAGTTTCATATTATGAAATCCTTTTTTTAAGCCAAACCGAAGATAAAAAAGCTCATTTGATAGACTTAAGCAGCAGAAGCTTTTTATCCAATTTAATTGTGCAGAATTAGCATTTATTTCAGCTGTTTTAATTTTGTTGCATTAGCATTATATATCTTTGTATCTTGCTTTTTAGTGGCTAGTGCTTGATACTTATCAAGCGCCCATGAAAAGTTGAATAAATGATGAATCTTCTTGAGCATCAGATGGTCAATTACGTTACGACGCACGTATATTAAGTTTCAAGTTTGATGTGCTGCATTTAAAAGTTTTTACAAGCGTGTAACGCACCTCCGGGACTCTTACAGAGTAATAAACGTGAAAACTGCTTTTGATTACACTAACAAGCAGCGTAGTGTATTAGTACGAACCTTCTTCTTTTCCTAACCTTACTCGCAAATGAAAGTGTTCTTTTTCATAAAATGACGATATGTAGCATTGGAATTTTTATAGCATCTGTTCTCTTCTTTATTTGTGGCTAGTGTTTCTGATTTATAAGGCGTCTTTGGTTAGTGCATGAGACTCATAATCTCTTGGTCGGAAATCGAATCCGAGACTTGGCCAATTTTTCAGTTCGAGGCTTATTTCTACTTTTTCTTGTTGTACTTTATAGAGCTGCTTTTTGTCGTGTTCTCGCTAGTGTTTGCGAAGAGAATTTCGCCTCTGTGTAAATTATGTGGAAAAACAATGCAAGATATGCAATTGTAACAATAGGCGGGGCATCCAATAACGCTTTTGAGTTCAAAAATTGAACGATAAACAAATTTAAAAATTAAAAGTTTTTCGTTTAAACTAAAATGGCCAAGTCTTCAAAAATAATGTGTTTCAGATCTTCGTATTTTGAACTTCGTAATGGCCATAAACAGCATACAGCTGCACTTTCTGTATATAACAATTTCATTGGCAAAACCACTGAGTTCATGAATGAAACTCTTGTTGAACCTAGTCCTTTTTTTTCATCACCCCGTACTTATATCATTTGCTTTCATCAATAGATAAGTCCGGCGTAGTTAATCTAAAGCTATCAGTTTTTCTTCTTGGGTTAATTTTTAACTGCTGGTTGTAAACTGCTGCAACTGCAGGTTGCAACCTGGGCTCAACCCAACAATGCGTCGGCAATTTCAAAATTTGCTTAATTTTTTTTTCTAAATATAACACTTTTGAAATGTTTTGATACATAAAAACGTCATATCTAGTTAAGTTAAGCACTCCTGAGAGTGCTTTCACAGCATACCACTATAGTGTTGAAAATTTCAAATTTTGTTTAGTTTATTAGATTAAGTTTTTTGAAGAGTTTCATGAAATAGTAAAAAATGGTTTATCTTGAAAACTAAGATGATCTGAGCAGTTAAAAAGGGACGATTAAATTGCGATGTCTGAGAGTATTCTGAGATCACCCCAAAAAGTGGTGGGAATTGAAGATTTCGTGTAGCTTTTTTAATGTTTTTTTTTGAAAAATTTCTACAAAATACTGCAGAAACCTCGTCTCGGAAATTAAAAGCATTTGAGCAGTCATATTTGGAGACAAGAATTGCAATCCTTGAGGGTAGCCTGGCAGCACCCAACCACGGGGGTGAGAATTTCCAGTTTTTGAAATTTTGAAAACCCAAGGTTTTTGAAATTTTTGGGAAAAACGTCACATATCGGAAACCAAAAGCATTTGGCCAGTCTCATTTGGACGCAAGATTTTCAGCCTGTGATATTACTCTCACAATACCCAATAACAATGATGGAAATAACAATTTAAAAAAATTTAATTTAATTTTTCTGAAAGTTTTGGAAAAAATCTTTATAAACGTCTTTTCTCGAAAACTACCACGATTTGGAGGCTAGATTCACAACCCGTGAGAGTAACTTGAAAGCGTCTCGCTATAGAGATGGGAATTTTGTGAAATTTTTTCTGAAGGATTTTTTATGTCTTAGTTCTTTGAAAAATATAAAAAAAGCCACATCCCGAAACTAAAAGCTTTTCAGCAGTTGCACTTGGACTTAAGATTATTTAGTTGAACATGCAAAAAAAATGCGTTGGAAAGGCTTAAACATGGCGAAACAGTGGAGCGGCATTTAAATATATAATAGAATATAAAGTAATAGAAACGAAGTAACGAAGTAAAGTGTCACTGATATAGATTGGCGGTTTTTTTTCAGGCAAAAAGTTTATGCAGACATTATATTTCAGCGGTTTCACTACTGATTTTTTGTCAAGTTCACTTGAAAATTAATGCGTTTAAATCACAACCGGTTATGCTCTACAATAACAAGAGTGCAGTTGACACAAAAATGTTGTTTTTGTTCCGACTTTCGAAGAAAGTGAGGAATATTTGCGCTCGTGATGGTTTTTCCTCCATACCTTTTTCGGTTTCTCAATTCACTTGGGATGGTGCGCAGGGAGAAGTTTCAACAATAATAAAGCATTATTCAATTTTTTCTTTTTTGCATTGAAAGTTTTCTCAATTGTTGTTTGAAGAAAGTGAGGAATATTTGTGCTCGTGGTGGTTTTTCGAAGAAAGTGAGGAATATTTGTGCTCGTGGTGGTTTTTCCTCCATACCTTTTTCGGTTTTTCAATTCACTTGGGATGGTGCGCAGGGAGAAGTTTCAACAATGATAAAGCATTATTCAATTTTTTCTTTTTTGCATTGAAAGTTTTCTCAATTGTTGTTTTGCGGGCTTCAGGGAGCGTAGTGTAATAGAATGATAATTCTTTTTTTTAAACCTAGTTCGCAATTATTGGTTTCACTTAGGTGGCACCTTTACGGCTTATTTTTGATAGCATGAGTTTGACATTCGATTAGTAATAAGTTAACACAGTTGAAGCATTTTTAATTAATCAAGTGAACCGAAAAAAGTCTATTTGTTTAAAGGATACTTGAAAAGTCTAAAGGATACTTAAAATTCAGAAGCTTCTGAGTTATAACAGTGAAGCTTGTGTTATAATGCCATCTTTTCCAAAAAAATGAACATATAATTGTAAAGTTTCTCGGTAATTGTAAGCATAATGTATTCGACTAATTGAAGTGCTCTCATGCTGCTTTTTATAAACGTTGTTCAGATTCTTATATAGCTCGTGATGATTTTTTTAGTTGGTTTTTTTAAAGAGGCCTATAAGTTAGTTTTTTAAAAAGGCCTAGCTTTAAAGAGGCCTATTTTTTCTTTGAAAATAGAAATTTGTGCTTTTTTATAAAAAGTCATTTTTTTTCTGTTTACTTGCGTTCATTGAATCTTTTTCAACTGTCTGTTGGCTATGTTTATGCACACTTATCTGCCTAGCTAGCGGTAGTTGTGGCCCAGTAAATATAGCAAGTGGTAGTTGAACGTTTATTTAAGTCATTCATTTCTCTTTTTTGCTGCATTTTGTTTACGCGGTTGGAGCGTGAGCGTCGAGCATCTGTTTAGTGGTTTGTGGTAATACGAAATTGAAACAGATATTGCGCTGTCTTGTCCAGAAGTGGACGCGCCTAAATTTTCATGCCCAATGCTTGAGTGTTAATGGACAAAGTGCGTTTCTATTTGCGTTGGTCTTATATTTTTGAATGAACTTTGATTGTTAGCGCAGTATCTCAAACATTTTAAAACCTTTAAGTTTGGTTTTTCATGATCAATATTCAAATCCAAAGTCCAAGCATAGCTCATCATGCTTTTAAATTTTCTAAATTTATATGAAAAAAAATCCGAAGTCGCATTGTAAAGTTATGTGCAGTAAGGGCATTTGAAGACGGATGACGGACTGATTGGTGTTAGTTAATTAAATTACACTTGCGAGAGCAAGTATATTGCAATCATATACTTGACTTTTTCGCGGTAACAAGTTCGTGGAGGCCTCGGTTTCGGCCTACGTTGCATCGGCTGAGTAGCCTCCTATTGCGTCATCTGTTGGGCAGAAAAAATATGTTAATTCTGTTAGGGCCGGACTTCTGAACTTCGAATATTATTTTTTTTGTGCTCAGGTAATTAGATTTTTGTTTTCGGCGCAACGGTTATCTACCATGGTATTATCGGCTAAGTATCCGCTTTGTTAATTTTCTGCTAATGCTAGCTAGCTTAAGTCCGACAGTTGTTCTGCCTGACATGTTTCTTCTAAATTGAATTTCCTTCACAACTTTTTGTTTTTTGTTTCAGCTAAGATCTTGATTTCTGCTTTCCTACAGCAAATATGTTAACGGAGCCAAAAGTGCTGTTTGACGCGATTTGTAATTGTGTAATAGGATTAGATCTTTCTGTTGTTTGTTCCAACCTAAATCCCAGTTTTGATGGCAGGACTATTTGCCCCCACGACTAATAACCCTATACTAGTTTGCCCTGCTTGATAAATTGTCCTTTGCCATTTTGCCTCACATGACAACTTGTCATATGCCAGTTTACCACTAATTATTTGGTAATTGAACGCAAATTGTTCACCATAATGCGGAGTTAGCGCCATTAACGGAACGAAGCACTGTAATAAATTTTCTTATGCGTCATTGCTTGAAAATTTTTGCGCAAACACTTGACATTAATTATTAGCATGAGTCAAATTACGTGGGGAATTTCAACAAAATTAACGAACGCATTTTATTGACGCACGCGATTTTACAAAAAAAAGCGAACTACAAAAGCTACCTATTATATGGAATTTCAAGTTCTTTGCAAATGTTATATTTAGTGTCGTGTTTGTGAATTGAAGTTTAGCCTCTTTGTTCAGTTTTCCAAATCTCCAGTCGTATAAAATAACAGATTTTGATCGGCTGAATCTCGAATGTGGTTTGATTTTTTTTTTCACTTTTTTTTTGTTGCGATGGTTAGCTTTTCCTTAATTTTTTAATGTATTTTTTAGTTCGTTTGCTAAAAGTGGGCCATTAACATTGGGTTGGTTTCGCTCTTATTATGCTATTTGTCACTTTCAGATTATGAGCTCTAGAAGATATTTCACTAGATCTCCAAATCAGTCGGAGCGACCCAGAGCCAGACCTCTGCCCTACTATCCCCCCAGTCCCAGCCGCAGTTCACACAGTAGCAGTCATAGATATTACAGCAGACATCGCAGTAGTGGAGCTGTGAATGGACACTCAAGCAGTCACTCTTCGTCACATAGTTCCAGGAGCTGGAGTAGCAGGTAGGTAGAAAAGTTAGAATAGACTCCAATTTTTCTTCAAAAAAATCTAGTCGATCAAAAAGTGTGGGAGAAATATACGCAACAAGAGAAGTGACTTGCTTTCATTTTGACAAAGTTAAATGGGAAATGTTTGATGTGTGAATTCAAATTAGTAATTAAAGCACGGTAAAAACAGAATGGAATAATGCAGCCAATGTTAACGAATTAAGTTTGCTTTTTGTAGGCCTCCGGAACCACTGGTTCAAGAAAGGCGAGAAGTGTCCAGTCTCCTATCTCTCAATGAGTTACCAGCAAGAGAAAAACTTTTGGTGCCTGAGGTTCTAGACGCAGAGGAAACTCAGGTTGTGGAGAAAACGATTGATGCGTTCAAGTCCAGAGGACACTTCGATGATTTTAGGAAGGAGTTTTTAGATGGAATCGAAAAATTAGTGAGTAAACATTGGACAAACGTTACTAGACTAGTTTTTGCAATTTGAAAAATTAGTTTGAAGAAAATAGTTTTTTTTCTGTATGATAACCCTTGCTATTAGCAAGGGTATTGTAACCGCATGGTATTTGACTTATTCCTAGAGGTAATGCTCATGTTTGCGAAGGTTCTGGGATTTCATTTTCAGACGTCTGCTTTTTTTCGTAGGCTTACTGTTTTGAATTTGTGAACATTCTTTGTTACTTACTTTCCAAAGATAGACTTTTTCTGATTTAAGCAGTCTTTAATTTTCCTATATTTGATTCATTTTGATTCATTCACGTGGTTTGTTAGTTTACCTCCTTTGATGAATCATTTTGATTCATTCACGTGGTTTGTTATTTACCTCCTATGATTTTGTATAATTTGTTTTTTATTTTTTCGCTTAGATCCTTTTGTCGGCTTAAATGGTTCCGCCTTGAGTTTTTTGAGGTTTAGTGGTCTCATAATACGTCGTTTGATCTAAAAATGTATCTTTTTTTTTAGCCCAGCTACAAGAGCTTGAGATACAAAGTGATGTCAACTGTTTCGAAATACATTGCGAGACAAGGTCCCTTCCACCCTGGAATGCGCAAGAACAAAATGCGCGATGGGCTCAAAGATGAACTCAATAGGGAGTAAGTATATCAGAGATTCGTTTTTGATCTCCCAAGTTTTCGTGTACTTATAAAAGCAAGAGAAGTGGCTCTGCCTGCCACAAAATACCTAAGTTGTTTGAACAGTTTCGATTTCTCAGATACAATGGACTGTCTTCATGGATCAATGACTTAGTCGACGACCTGATCGGACCGAACGTAGAGCGCCGCATACGATCAGTAGTCAAGGACACACTCGAAGATTATATACCCGATGAGAAAATAGAAGTGGCATCTTTCTTGAACCAAGACAACCAGGAGCACCTTGCTATGGGTATCCCGATGACGTCTGGAAATGCGAGTCACAGACCAGAAAGATTGCCAACGCCTCCGCCACTGGAAAAGTATTACTCAGAACAACTGACAATGGCTAAGCTTGAGAGGGAACGACAAGAAGCAGCTAGAGCTCCAGGTCTGATGATAAGTAGTTGAATTACCACAGACGGAAATGTCCATAAGCGCCATATGGTATTGAAATTGTGACTCGTACTTCAAATGGATTGTGATTGGTCCATTTCTAGGTCTAATGAGAGAGTATTTTGAATTTTCTGGGACATGTGAAATCTGCAGCAAAGTATTCGAAAACGTACCGAGATTTTTTTGCAAGAATGGTATGAAACACCTAATTCTCGATGTCACACGACAAACTGATGCTTTTTTCTTACTTTTTTAAGCCGAACTAAATTGTAAACGTACAATTTCACACAATGCTTGGAAAGTAAATTGTAGATTCTGGGTTTAAAATATATTTTTTGAGCGCCTAGGTATGCATGGCTGTTTAGAAATGGCTTTAACGAGTGGTGATGCTGGAAATTATGGACAGTTCGAAGATGGGGGTCCTGCGTCTCCGGTGGCGCCGGTTCCCGTCGACGAAGACACGGGAGATGAAAATGAAAACAAGACTTCTGCTGTGCTGCCGCAATTATTGTTCAACCAATTGGCTCATTTTTCCAGTTAGTTATATTTCATATCCTATAAAGGCTTTATTCACTGAAACCTCAAATTAAGGCTTTATTCACTGAATTTGATTTATATTTGATCTCGTTATATAATTGCTCTGTAATTCCTTTAACTCGGAAGATGAAACATTTTACTGATTTTTCCAGTTAGTTGTTTCATCTGGTATAACATAAACTGTAAGACTTTTCAAACGTTTTTCTAAATATTGATATGAATGTTTCTTGGCAATGAAATGACCAGACCGCACATAACGAAAACATATTGAAGCGGACGGGTTATAGGCAACGGGCATGTCTGTGGGCATGTTTTCAAAAAAAAATTCTTGCGCGATTTAAAGATAATTTTCGGTTTGACCTAATGCAACAGTATATTTATTAGATAATATATTATTTTCTTTTCTAGTGTACCCTCAAGATGCGCCACCTGAGCTGAGAGAAGCATTGCTGAACAGCCAGGCTGCCAATATGCCCCCTGTATCTTCAGCCCAGATTGGGGATATCTCGGTGATGGTGGATGAGTCCCCAACTGGCGTAGAGGACATTATATCGCCAGAAATGATGGATATTGAGGATGGTCATTCGCCAGATCCCACTGCAAACACTGAAATATGGTGAGCCTTTCATCTCAAAGATTTGAATTTTGAAATAAAAAATGTGGTTGGACGTTAATTCTTAAAAGACTACGATTCATATACGGCAATTATTTGTCATTATAATATTAAACTAGTCTTTTATTTATATTTTGCCTTTTCTCCGTTTGCTAAGTAGACAGCAAAAATTTGTTCCGCCATTTTTGGCGTAATTGATGCTCATTTCGAATCGTCGATCATTACGAATTCTCCACCTTAGAAAAGTTAAGCCTGCCACGAAATGCGTTTCACGATGACTCCCTAAATATGATCTCCTGACGAGCAAAATTTATTTTTGTTTTCCCGGGTACGGCTAAAAAATTTGTAAGAGCAATTTCATGGTGCTAAGCTCCTTTTTGCTTGCAAGAGTTTATTCAAGTCATTATGCTATCCATATGTCATAGGTCTGCCGATGAAAGTGTGACTACGGCAGATTCAGTTGACAACGATAACCGAGTCAGCACTGATCTAGCATCGTTGACTCCATCTCGCTCTAGTTCAAATCAAGCTAACCCTTCTGACGATGCGAATCAATTAGTCCCTGGAAGCGCAAAGAACCCTTCCCAAGGCAGGTCAACTCTGGGGTCTCTTCTGCTTGAAAAGAGGAAACTTAAGATGAGGTCAGCAGTTGTCAGCAAGCCAACACCAATCAGAAAGCAATCGAACTCAGACATCGAATCGGTAGGCATCATGACTTGCTCGTAATTTTTAAACTGAGACTTGTGGAGTATTCTTATGGGCAAACTTAATAAAATGAATGATGATTTTTGGTTTCTGTGGTTAACCTATTTAGACTTGGTTTTAGATTTCGTCAGAGAGCGACTTCGACTCAACGAGTAGTAGTAGCAGTGGAAGTAGCAGCAGCGATGAAGAAAGATTAATTCCAAACATGGACACAATTACTAGGCACCAGAAGCTCAGTAGCAGTGCGGCAGTCTCTCCAAATAAACTCCGGACACCGGGATCAATTGGGGATTCCTTCGGTTCCTCCCGAGAGTCGAGAAGAGACAGTCGAGGGAGTCCGCATCATTCGAGAGAATCAGATCGAGAACATGTGTCGAGGTATGGTAGAAAAGGAAGACAACCGAGCCGATACTCTCCAGATTCCGAGAAAAAGAAGTCCACTCCAATGTCGGAATCTCCCTCAAAACGAGACCGATCCACACCAAAAAAGCATTCCAAGTCCACTCCAAAGCGTTTCTATCCCGGAAACTCACCAAGTATGCTATTGAAGAGAAAACGAAGTCCTTCGCCGCCGAAAGAAGATGTAGTTTCCCCGAAAAAGAAGGAGAAAGCGCCACCCATAGAAGGTAATTTTTGCTTCAATGTCAAATATTTGATGTGTTATATTTGATCATAATCATATCAGTTTTATTCATGATGGTTTTAGACGAGAGACCCGAAAGCAGGCAAATGACTCCCCCCGTAGAAAAAACTCGCGATGAAGTATCATCGACTATTGAACGGGTTAGGGTTTCTTCTTCGAGAAGTGAGGCGAAGTCGAGAACGACCGAAGAACGATCTAGAAAGAAAGATATGCCACAAGTCCATTTGTCCAGTAGACGAAGTCGAAGAGAAACTACTCCCTCGGTTGACACGAATAGAAGCGATGCAGAATCAAGTGGATCTCGATCAAGAGTAGAAAGAGATTCTCAATCGGAAAAACGAAGTGCTTCTCGGAATTTTAGTGATCATTCCGACCGGGACAATGATCGAAAAAGTTCGAGAAAATACGAAAGGCGACAAGAAAAGGAAGATGTATCTCGCAACATGGACGAAAGAGACAAAGAAACAAAACTCAAACCTATCAGCGTCGCAGAAAGCTCAAAGGGCTCCTCACCTATTGATAAGAAACAATCGAGTTCTGATGAACGTCCTGTAGATAAAGAGGCTAAAGAAACCACAGAGGAGATGAAAGAGTCCGCTGAAATTACAGTGAGTGTTACAAAGGAAGAACTCGAAGTAAAAGACGAACCTACTGCGAGTCCTAAAAAGGAGAAAGTTCGAACGGAAAACGAGGAAGTAGAAGAAGGTGAAATAACCGACGATGAAGAAGATGAACAAACTGAGAACCCCAACGATCAAGAAATTGCTCCATCAGTTGTGCAATCAAAGTCTTTCGATAGAGAGACATCGCCTCCATTAAGAGCTACTAAACTTCATCCACATATATCGGCCAGTCGATCCGATAAATTGATTGAGTTCCCACCGGCACCTCCGCCTTTACCACCGCTCAGAAAAAAGAAGTCGAAGCGAAAACGAAATGTATCGACCAGCTCTGAATCGGATGAAAGTAGTGACGATAGTCTAATGGAACGCTTGGCTAAGAAGGACATCAAAAATAGGACGAATAGAGTCGTCCCTCCGACCATGCCGCCGTTTCAGACTGAGTTCGTTGTCGGAGATCAGTTTGCCCGAACACCCTTCAGAGGCCCGGGACCGGTTGAGGATCCCTATATCCCGAAGAGTTTTGTGGTTGACGAGTCGTTGAGAGAGGACAGAAAAAGAGCAGCTCCAATGTCGAGTAAAATTGTGGTCGAGAAAGATTTGACTAAGCAGCGGTTGCCACATACATCAGTTCGCAATAAAGACTCATGGGTAAGTGCGTTTATGAATATATTATTTGACTGTTTATACAAGAATTTCCTCCTTTCTTATTATTTAGCAAATAACTTTTAATTTATTTTTAAATCACAATTTTTGTTGCGTTTAAATAAAATACTGTGAGTTTGTTCCAATTTATATATGATTTGAGACATAATTGAACTGTTTCGTATTTGAGTATTCAAAAAAAAAATGATTTTGGTGAAAATGATAAAAATGAACTTCATAATGGGTATTGATGATGCTGATTTATTAGTTTGCCTCGTCCAGACACGCTAGTAGCGTTGGTAAGAGAGAAGCGCAGAGATGTCACTTGTCTCTAGCCAGCAGGTATAGATCCGGCTCGCGATCTCCCACGCGGCAAAAACGCCGGCGAAACAGCCGAAGTCGAAGCAGCAGTAGTCGGCTGGATAAAAAAGGAACCGATAAGGTTCCTCGACAATATAAAGATGATGAGAAAGTAAGGTTCCAGATGGAGTTAATGATTGATGCGATATTTACGCATCGTAATAGCGAGCGTTTGAGTACATCGGTCACTTAGCAGGCATTACAGACGGCCGAATTGAGCTTAAGGGACAAGCTTCTTACCGTATTATGCATGCACATGAATCGTGCAGTTTTGTGAAAATCATTGTTAAGAAAATCAACACGCTGCTAAAGTTTCCGACATACTGAAAGCTATGCTTTGAGTTTTACTCTATTTGATATTCTCGCTTTCTTGTGGTTTACGAAGCAAAAGTTTCAATTCGAAGAATGAACGATCAGGTTTTTTTACGATGACTGGAAAAGTATTGAGAGGTTGAAGCTTTTATCTCGCAATTTAATTTCGAAGAATTTATGATTTATTACAAGAAAGCGAGAAACGAAAGTAAAACAGTTTTGATCTATCCAAAAAATCGTTCTATCATGTCTTCTATTTTTCTGTGTAAAATTTGACCCCTTAAAATACCCCTGGCACCTTGATAGAGTTCATTTCTCGGTCAAAGAGTGGCTTCTCGCGGCCTCGTTCCAATTTAGAGGCTCGCAAGTTTCAACGTCAGCACAAAAACATATAGAAAAGAACTAGCTTTTTGGAGATTTCCAAAGGTTCGTCAATGTAAATAATCGCTGCAATTCTTCAGCTTGACTTTTCAATTTCGAAAGCTGTGTAACACCAAACAATGTGAGAAATCCCTTTTTTGAATGTCTTTTTGCTGATACGCCTCTCCTTCTTTGCTATCTTTATGTAATTTTAATTAGAAAAAAAGTGTTTATTGTTCCGACCACTAAAAGTGTTGAGATTTTTTGTGTTCGGGTGTGTTTGATTTTTCAAGTTTTTTTTTTCCACCAAAATCACACGAATAAATATCAGATGGTGTGGAGTGATATATCATTATTACATTAGCCGCCAGCGTAGTGAATTATTACGAACCTTTTTTTTCTAGCCTACATCGCAAATAAGTGTTCATCAAAAGTTTTTTATTAAGAGAACGTAGTGAAGACTCTTATATAGGTCTTGCTGATTTTTTTTTGTTCAGGATAAAATGCTCTAACAACTACAGATGTGCATTAAAACATATTGATGCATTTATGAATGCACTTAGGTGTATATGCACTTTTTGAGTTCAATTGAAATTCATCTGCTGAAAGTGACGTAAATAGCAATCTCCAAATACAAACGTGGAAATGGCGCAAAAAATCGTGAATGATTTCTAGTTTCGAAAGTGGAATTAAATTTTTATAAAAACTTTACCTAGTGATCTGGTTTTCTCAAGTTGGGTTAATATTAGCAAAAAAGCGCCAATCATAAATTGTTCTTGAAATTCAAAGAGCTTAAAGGGCAGCAATTTTTTTCTTTGAAGTTCGAAAGTTGATATTTTTTCAACAAAGTTGGCGTTTTTTTCTGTTTGCTTGCTCTCATTACTCTTTTCCAATCTTCGATTGGCTATTTTTATTTGGTGATACTGTTGCTGTAATCACGAGCTGTAGCATTGGAAATTTCATTGCATCTGTTCTCTGCTTTATTTGTGTCTGGTGTTTGTGATTAATTAAGCGTCCGTGGCTGAGGGGTTAGTCTAAGACTTATAATCTCTAGGTCGCAGAAGGGTCCTAGGTCTAGGTTCGGTTCCGAAACATCCAATTTTTTACTAGTACGAAGTTCATTTCTACTTTTTCCTTTTGGACTTTATACAGCTGCTTTTTATCGTATTCTCGCTAGTGTTTGCGAAGGAGAGCGTCGCTTCTGTGTTTATACCTTTCTATCGTGATTTCATTGATTGTAAAAAAAAGGTTGAGATGTTAAAAAAAGATTTAGTTTAAGCCGTGAAAAATTTAGCTTATTCCAGGAAATCAAGCTTCGAAGCTTTTTTAGCGCTTCCTTCACTTAGCATTTTTTAATGACTTAGCTTGGTTGCCTCTTATTGCGTAGTTTTCCGGGGGAAAATAATCTTCTTGGCAAAAATTCAAACATTTTATGACAAGATTTGTTTCAGCTCAAAGAGCGTTCGTTCATTCTAATTTTGTTGGCAAATTTACCGTTAAATGGTTTTTTGCCGTGATACTTTTACGCTGGTAGTTTTTTTGACATGCTTTCCTCGAAATAAACTTCATTCGAGACAAATAATGATTTTAAGAGACTAATTTTTGTGCGATATTTTTACAATTCGTCATTTTTTGTTAACTAGCTTGCCATGCTATGTTTTCGTTGTATCGCAAGTAGCGCGAAGCTCCTTTTTGCCTCTTTATGTATTTTGCTATAATAAATGTAGTCAATTGAAGCCATTATCAACTTTTCCAAGCTTAGTTTTTGTCCTTCCCCTTTTGCCATGCGCACAAAAAACGACAGTAATCAGAAAAAAAAACATTTTTTGTTATGTATTTTGCTACGATAAGTTTAGACATTTGAATTCAATATCAACGTTTCCAATTTTAGTTTTTGTCGCTTCCCTTGTCCGTAAAAGAACATAAGAACTGCACAAATTAAAAAAAGAAAAATAATTTTTTCTTTTTAAGTACTGTGGTCGGAACCTTCTAAGCTATTTGCCCCGGAACTGGCTACATTTGTTTCTATAACATTTATATTTTAGAGAGCTTTATCGCCTGAATTCCACGAAAAAGGAACTTTGTCGCCACCGCCGATGTTGTATGACAAAACGTTGCCGAAGGTCAGACTTTTGTCGGGCAATGAGAAGAAAAAGTCGCCACGTCACTCGAAGTCGAAACAACATCACGAATTACCTCCGCCTCCCCCTCTGACTAGAAAAGTCCCGTATCCTCCTCCGCCGATGGCCTCATTAGCCGACGATGCTTCAACAGACAGTGCCGCATCAAGCAGAAGTGGAAGCTCAGATGAGTCTTCTAGTAGCTCTAGCTCGGCTGAAAAGAAACTAAGAGCCAAGAAGCTGAAATCGAGGCACCAGAATAAAGTGGCCAAAGCAACGGCAGTATCGAATGAACGTCATCGTAAAATTTCATATCATCTGGGATCGGAGTCGAAGTCTTCGCGGTCTCATGGGAGTAGAAGTTACCCTGCCTCTAGAAAAATAGAAGATCAGAATTGGTCAGGCAATGATTATAAGTCAAGTTATGGTGACAGATCAGACGAAGAACAATCGTCTCAAGCATCGAGCGACGATGTCTTGATAAGTAACAGTCACACACCTCCAAGATGCAGATAGGAAGGATTACATTTCAAAATTACACTTTAGATTATAGACCTATAAACTATTATTGAGTAAATGTTGACCTCTTAAATCAGAATATATTATTTAGTCTTTGTTCCTTCTTGATTTTTCCAAGCAGTTGGCAAAATAAATATGAACATCACGTTGTCAAGGATCAGTCAGTACTAGTTATGCAATCAAAGCATTGAAAGTGATTGTACAAGGACATCGAACCTTTGAATTTTCTGAAGTATTTCGAACTAGATTACTTGAACTTCAGATAAATCTAGTTGAGATAAGTCATTGTAAGTTCTTAAAACACTGCTTTGTAATAAACGCGATTGATCAATGGCAAAACCAATTATTATGCATCCAAAGCGTTCTGTATAATTTTTTAACTTTTTGCGAAACGTCTTGTTGCATTAGAAGTTACTAAATCCGTAAGTTTTTTTGATGTGTCAACATGTGCCTTTACATCTAAATTCTTTGGTAAAACCTTCACAAAGCATTGTGGAATATCTCGCTACGCGTGCTACAATCGAATATTGGCCACATGTGATGCATAATAGATCCTAAGTTATTCCTGGTGTAATTTCAGTTCTTTTCTGTAATTTTTTACTTGGTTGTGCTATCTGTTGCGTTTAATTGACAATCTATATTTTGTGCGTATATTTCAGGGAGTTCATGATGAGGTACTATTCCACCCAGACCCTTAGAGGGTTTGACTCCTACAAGTACCGTGCCTTAGACACCAGTCCTCTCTCCATCTATGTCATGCACCCTTTTTGGGACAGAGTCGTTACTCTAGCGCCACCTTGGCTGGCCCCAAATACTCTAACATTCCTCGGATTCATATTGGCTGCCAGTAACTTTCTAATTACGTGCTATTATGACTGGTACTTCTATGCTAGCTCGCCCACTCATCCGGAAGTGGCGCCTATTTCGAAGTGGGTGTGGCTTGTGATGCTAGTGTTTCATTTTGGATCTCACACTTTGGACGGGATAGATGGCAAACAAGCTAAAAGGACGAAATCTTCATCCCCTCTAGGTATGTGAAATATGTTTGAAATGATTTATTTTTGGCTAGAACTTGTAAGTAAGCATGCAGCAGAACGACCTTTGGATTATCTTGAAAATTTTTCAATGGTTTGAATGTTTGTTTTGAAGTCAAACGGCACTCTCATCAATTCTTTTCTAGTTGTTTATTGTCTGTTGAATGATCAAACTTAGCTGTTTTTTGACTGTTGAATGAATTGCTTGTTCTGCGCTCAGGTTGTTCTGCGCTCAGAATTGCTTAAGATAAATTCCAGATTTCAATTAATAGCATGTTTTTTGAAGTTCTCTGCGTAAGAGGGCGTTTTTCTTCTAAATTTTAACAAAAACTTTTTTCTGAGCGAAAAGTACAATGGCAGTCAGAGCAACTCATCTTTTCAATGTATTGAAGTTAATCGTAGTTAACCAGATAATCTTATATTTAATTGTAAAACGTTCTTACACTTGCGAAGCGAGTGTATTAGTACGAACCTTCTTTTTTTCCAACCTGCGTCGCAAATATTGGTACCACTTTTAGTGCATTTTTACAGCTTTTTCATAGCATTAGCTCTGACATTCCAATAGTAATTAGTTAACACATTTGACGCATTTTTAATTCATCAAATGAACAGAAAAAAGTGATTTGTTTCAAACAACAGAACAATAATGAAAACTCGATTTCAGAAATTTTCTAACTCAATATATCTGGCAATTTTTTGAAATTCATAGTTTGTACATAATGTGGTTTTATGCTTTGCAATTTGTTTCATGCAAAATGTGTGTGGATGCCTTCAGTTTCTTATATTCCAAATTTTTAATTTCAAAATTGAGTATCAATGTATTCGCCAGTTTTAACATTTAAGAAGTCGATGAATTAAAACATTAAAATTTCCAGATAAAATGAGTTGGAGAGGTCAATGTCAAATGTCTAGACAGATCATCTTGAAGTTTTGAGCGCAGGGTAGGGTAGCGCAAGGCAACTACGGTTTGGACGGCAGCGTAAGACAAATGTAAGGCAGCGCAAGACAAGAAGGGAAAGGTCAGCATAAGGAGGGGCAGGTCAGCGTAATAGGGCAAGGAGGGTCATGGCCGCGCAGCGCAAAGCAAGGCAGCGCAAAGAAGGGCAGGGCAGCGGAAGGAGAGCCAAGTCAGGGCAAGGAGGATGGCAGAGCAGCGGGTAGCGCACGCAGGGCTGCGCAAGGCAGGGCAGTGCAAGACAGGGCAGCGAAAGTCAAGGCAACACAACGCAGGCAGGGTAGAGCAAAGCAGCGCAGAAGGAGGTGCAACGCAAGGCAGCGAAAGGCAATGCCGAATAAATTTCAACTTGGGATCTTTATTAAGGTCAAAACCAACTGTCGAGACAGATTGTCTTGACGTTTTGTGATCGATTTTCAGTTTCTAGATATGTATCTTGCCTCGATTTGAAACGGTTTTCAAAATTTTCTTGAACTTGTTACCAGCGTTTTCATATTATAGCACCCATTTTTCAATCAAACTGATATTTTAAACACAGCGTGTCGATGTACAGTTTTTGTGATATTTGGTGGCGGGCGGTACATATGCGATAGTGGGGTGCCAATAAATGTGCGTTGTCCGCGATCTAGAAAGTGTCTCAAAGTCGTTCTTTTTTATTGCCTGAGTGATATCAATTTTACTAGTAAACAAGTTAAAGCAAATGAATCGTGTTGAAAGGTACAGAAAAGTGTTGAAAACGACCGACCGATTCTATTGACTAACCGAATCATACTTAGTTAACATTATTAGTAATATGCGGGACTCCTCTCATACTTGCGCCGTCTATCATACTTCAAGGTACGTAGGGAGGCTGAAATTGGATGGAGCCCTTTCCGTGAGGAGCCTTGAGAGTTATCACAACAGTTTAAAATAGTTCAACTTTGTCGTTGAAAGCTTGCCTTGAGTTTTTTCGACTTCACGACTGAATTCAAGCTTTTTGAATAACTGTAAACGGTTGAATTTTCAATCCGTTGATAGCTTGCGACAGCTTGAATATGGTGAGATAAGTATCAGACTCTTTTAAAAAAAAGTTGACTTCATTGAATCAATTTGTGGATCAACAAAAAAGAATATTTCTTTTAATATCTTTAATAGCTTGCAACAACCAGCCAAAGTTTTGCTAATCAATGCTGGCCATTAAAAAGTTTTTGGAAAAGTTACAAAGTTTCATTCAATTAAAAGTTTTGGTTTTTTGCTAAGCAGTTCAAACTACCAAAAGAAATCGAAATTTTTTAAAATTTCCACTGCCCAGTTTCTCAGCAGGATACCTTGCTTTCAACGTTTCAATTGATTTCGTTGTTATAAACTGAATTCGGTCGAAGATTCGTGTGTTAATAGTTTGAATCCAAAAATCTCCAAATTTGCGAACCAAGAAAGGTAGAATAAATTGAATTTTTTTCAAGTTTTCAGTAATTGAATTGCTTGCTTGAAAAAATTTTACTCCGGCAGTCAAAATAACTTCAAAGTGCTCAAATATGAAAAGCTCACCTCCAGAACTTTTAACTAATTGCAAACCAATGTTAGCTCCTGATGTAAGCTTAAATAAAATTTACAGCCTTACAAAAAAAAGTTTTTTGATTTGTTCCCACCAATTCAATCTTTTCAAGCCAGCAAATAACTTGAGAGCTTACTTTGGTAATTTTAAAGTTGAAGCACGCAATATAGGACGCTGAGATCAAATTGAGTTTTGAAGTTTCATCGCTTCGGCTGCCTTCATAGATTTTAGCACAGATTTTCTCGCCATCATAACAATTTGAAAAGTTGCGATGTTTCTTGGCGTGATAGATTGCTTCAAAAAGCTTAGCTTTTTGTAAGCCATTGCAGACTATGCGAACAGCTTTGCATGTTCAAATTTTCTTGCTTGCTTCTTTAGCTTGCTTGAAAAATCATTTATTGTGCTATTTTTTTTTAGTCATCAACCTAAATTGAAATACTCAAAGCAGTGTTGGTTTTGTTGTTATTAAAAAATCGAAATTTTTAATTAGGTAAATATATCTGGCTTAAACGAAAAATAGGTGTTTACAATAAAATAAAAGCTATCTTACCTCCTCAGTTGCGGAGAAATAGCTAATAATATATATGTTCACTACTCAAAATTTTTTCAAAAAAAAAACGTTTAAAATATCTGAGTGCTTGGAAACTTCTCTCGAAAACTTCCTTATTCATTTTAATCGCAATAAATAAAATGAAGAAAGATTTTAATCGAATAGACATCTGCCCTACAGTCTGAACGGGAAAAACTGTTCTGATCTTGATGTAGAAATACCTTCACGGACGCGGATGTAATGTTTTCTTTCATGCTGGGGGGGGGGGGGGGGGGGGGTCGGGGTCTTTTGGTCGATCAAATTGATTTTCCGAGCTGTCGCAAAACACTATAAGGACTAATTTGTTCTACACTACATGCCAGTTTTAGAAAACCGTTTCAAGGCTTTTTTGGAGATTTTGAATTTAAAAATAGGGTTTTTTCGGCACGCTCTTCCATCCTCAAAAAAAGTAATTATTGGCACCTAAGGCGTCTGTAGAAAAATTTTTGGTTTGTTCAGGCAAAAGTGGATGTCGCAATAAATTATTTGTTCACTTCAACAAACTTTACGTCAAGCTTGAATTGGTCAATCTTAGGTTGAATGCTCCTAAAGAAACTGAATGCCTTAATATAATAAGAAACAAATGCAAAAATGATAATTTTATTGATGTTTTGTTGTATTTTCTTTGAAGAAATCTGTCACGACTATGAAGAATTGACTAGTGGTATAAGCTTTAGTTTTTTTCCTCTGGAACATCATGCACAAATATGACACAAATTTGGGAAAATGATTTTTTTAAAGTTTTTGTCTGTGTGGTGGGAATTTGATTTGCTAGTTGCACAGTAACCGTCTGCTCTTTTTTGAGATACGTGTAGATTCGCATTTATTTTCAATCATATGTCAGATTTCGGTCTAAGGCCAACCGCAAAGAATCAGGAAGGGTTTCTTAGACTCTATGAGACTCTTGCATCTTGAGTGAATGTATGATTTGCAGGAGAGCTGTTTGACCATGGAGTGGACAGTTTGTCCACAGTGTTCATGCCTGTAGCCATCTTCTCCGCCTTCGGAAGGGACCATGCTCACGGAGGAGGCACAATAGAGATGCACGTGATCACTTGGTGCATATTCTTCACATTTGCACTGTCCCATTGGGAGAAGTACAACACACAGGTGCGTTAGGAATCAATTTATAGTAAATATTTTACAATTTTGACTGTAATTTTTTGAGTAAGTAACCCCCAAGCTACAAAAGACAGTAATTTAATTATGTTTTACGAACACAGCCAATTATGCCAAAAAATCCTTCGAGGAATCATTTTTGTGGTGCCTTAGCTATGCACTGAAAAAGCCTGAAATGTTTTTTTTTGTAGTATACTTACTCGTGTGTTTGAGGACGAAGCAGCATTCCTCTCCCTAGAAAAACAACTTACATTTTTCCCATGGGTACACAGCGATTCTTCGCTTAGGGCTGAACAGCCCGTCCTGTTCAAACGATCTTCAGTCTAATTAGACCCTGGGGTTGTATAAAAACAATTATGATTTCAGGAATTGTACCTTCCCTGGGGCTATGACCTTGCTCTTTTGGGCATAGCTTTAGTCTACTTACTCAGCGGCTCAATTGGAGTTCACCTTTGGCAGCGGGATGTGATCCCTGGATATTCAGTCGTGTCATGTCTAACAATCATAGTAGTGTTCGCGAACTTCGTCTTATCTTTTCCAGTATCTCTCAATAATATATACGCCAAGTACTCACCAGTCAATCAATTGAAGTATGGATTTCTAGACGGCATGGCGCCTTTGTTGTCAGTGGCGTTGCTCGCTCTGTTTTCTACCAGTTGGCTCTTCTTTTCACAGAATAACATCGCAAAAATGGTTAGTCAAGAATTCCACGTACTTAAATAATCAGCACGACCAGTTTTTATCAGTGCGTTTTTTTTCTACAAAACTAGCCACTGCGTTGAAGAAAAACTGATTTTTTTAATGAGGACATTGAGCTATGAAGGTACTTCACATCTGCTTCGGTCTGATTTTTATTGTATCTTCTTCAAAGCCAACCCTATTTGCTTTTACAATATTTTATGGCAATAAATTAACAAAAAGATTTTTTCTTCAAATTGAGATTTGTTTTAGGAGCCCCGTCTGTTTCTCTGGCACCAAGGGGTTCTCTTCTCCAGTCACCTCTGCAGGGTAATCATTGCCCAGATGACCTCCACCAAAGTACAGCTACTCAACTGGATGATGTACCCCTATATACTTATGGTTTCCTGCCTCCTCTTTCTTCCTCCGCAAATTGTGACGTCATCACTAGAGCTGAACACATTGTACATTTTTTCTACTCTTGTAACGATGGCTCATCTTCATTTTGGAATCTGTGTCGTGAGGGAAATTGCAGAGTCTCTGAACGTGTCTGTATTCTCAATCCGAAAGTCAAGAGTTAGCTAGATTTTGTAGCTCGCAGAAATAGCTAAAGCTCATCAATCATGAAGCTTTTAGCAGTAAATTATAAATGCAACAATGCTTGTGCTTTATGCTTGAAATGAATGCTAGCCTAAATCGTTGTAACTTGTTTGCCACAATCATTTTAATGAATTATGTATTTTGGAATACATTTATGAATTTTTCTTTGTAATGTTTTGTCATTGCGTTTCGATATTTTGTCGAAAATAAAAATTTCAGTAAGATTGTTTTTAGAGTCGATATACGTAGTTTAGACTCTTATATTGGTCGCGATGATTTTTTTTCGTTTTTCAGGAAAAGTTTCAAATTCCGGTTTGACTTTTTCGCGGTTTGATTTGATTTATTTTTAAGATCAGTTCATTTCCTTTCTCAAAAGGACGGCAAGCTCCACTATCGAACAGCGAAAATTTTTTAGGTCACGAGAAACGTGATCGACTTCTAGCTTCGAAAGTGGAATTTAATTATCGAATTTCCCAGCGAATTAAAAATTTTAACGTATTGATACAGTTTTCTCAAGTTGGGTTAATTTTATCAAAAAAGTGTCAGCTTTGAATTGTTCCAGAAATTCTAAGAGCTTTTAGGCCATTTTTAAGACTAATGAATGTATTGAGTACTTTTATATAGGTGTTGCTCATTTTGATTTTTTTTAAGAAAAAGTTCTTAAAATTTGTTCATGATCAATTTTGATTCTTCGCGGTTTGACTTAAGATTTCTCTTTAAGTTCAGTGCATTTCTATTGTTAAAAGGCAAACTCCGCTATCGAACAGCGAAATTGTAAAGGTCACGAAAAACGTGATCGACTTCTAATTTCGAAAATGGAAAACAATTATCAGATTTACCATCGAGATAAAAGTTATACTTATTGATCCAGTTTTCTCAAATTGGGGTAGTTTTTTTTATCAAAAAAGTGTCCATGATAAGTTTTTCTACAAATTCAAAGAGCTTTAAGGCCATCTATTTTTTCTTCGAAATTCAAAGGTTGAAGATTTTTGAAAAAACAATTCGGTTTTTTTTTCAGTTTCCTTGCGTTCATTGACTTTTTTCCAACTGTCTGTTGGCCATGTTAATTAAGTGTCAATGAAGGTAGTGAAGACACTTATTTTGTTCGCGTTGTTTTTTTTTGTCCAAGAAAAAGCCTCAAAATTCGTAGACGCAAACGCCAAAGTGCATCTTTTTGATTTGAAATTTGTTTTTTCTTTACCTTTGCGATCAGCAAGGGTATTGCAATCGGGTACTAGATTTTTCCCCGTAAATCGCTTGGTCCAAAAGACATTCATCTCCTGGTCATCTTTGTTGGAAATACTCCAACAACCGACATAAATTGAGAGATTTAGCATTTCATGTTGGTTATAATTTTACCAACTCGATTTGATAAAATTTCTCTTTTTTAGTTTAAGATGCATTTTTCGGCTTAATAGGTTTCGGCCTAGTTTTGTATCGGCTTAGTGGCATCATATTACGCCATTTGATGAACGATTTTTTATGCGTGTGTCTTTTGAAGGAATGGGATTTAGTCTTTTTTATTAGTTTCAAACCTTTGAATTTTTTTAATCGGCTTGATGGGCTTTTGCTCAAGTTTTTTCTTTCTGTTTTGATACCGCTTATTTTCTTCCCACGCTAATTTTGCAATCTATTCAAGAGGCGTGATTTTTCCTCAAGATCAGCACCATTCTTAATAATATTGTTGAAGGTTCGCTGATGGTTTTTCGGTTTATGGTTGTCGATTAATCTCACGGTTTAGATTTTGAATTGTGTGTACCACTTTGCCGTTAGTGCATATATGGCAATCGTAGACACTATTCTGTTGTGCTGGTTTTCAGCTTATTGGCTGTCGGCTTCAATTCTGTCGGCTTATTTGACTTATTTGTTGTTCCTACAATTTCTGATCTTATTAATTATACTTGCGAAAGCAAGTGTCTTGTAATCGGGAAGTGGACTTTTTTTCCTTTAAGCATTTCTTCTCACAAATCTTAATCAATTTTCTTAGTTGAATTTTTTTATTGATGACTTAGAACTTTCATATCCGTTTGCACTTGGCCCAAAGTTGACGCCGTCGCCTTTGTAAACCTAAGGTCAGGAGTTGAGTTCCGGTCGAATCTTGTTTTTTTTTCCAGAAATTTGAAATTGTTTTCCGGTAAGAATTGAATTGTCGGACTTTCGTTTGTCTGCTCAGTTTTGTCGGGCGAATAAAGCAAGCGAGCAGTCTTTTTTGATTTCCTCGCAAAATCATCGGACTGGGTTGAGTGATATATCATATTAAAGCTTTTTCACTTGTGATTCGAACGACATCAAAAAATTTCAAAATTTTTTTTCCCGGTGTCGAGAAAAACCGGTTTGAAATTTTTGATTTTTCGTCTAATTTCGAGCGAGTGAGCAGGCTTACATTAGCTTATTTATGCTTAACATAAGCCTTAAAAATTTAGTTTAACTCTGATGAAGTTAGTTTTTGAGTTTTTAGCTTCATCTTAAGAATCAATAACTTCAAAAATTTGGGAACAATTTTTGGAAAATTAATTTTTTTTTTTGTATTTCTATTTTGTTTTTCTTGCTAGTTGTCTTCAAAATTTGTTTTCCAATTTGCATATTTTACATAATTGACAAAATTGCTTAAGCTCTACTTTTTCGCTCAGATTCCTTTATCACACCAAGCCGAAAAAACGACAACAATTGGAAAACTAATTTTTGTTGTAATTTTTTAAAACTGGTCGGAACATTCTTTGCTACTTGCACAGAAACCGGTTATCCTGGTGTAAGGTAGTTTCAGGGGACCTCAAATTTTTTAATTAACCTCTAAGGTTTTTTCGGCACGACTGGTGTCTTCTGTAAGATTGTCGGCTTTATTGCCATATTGAGGACTTTGCTTGTGCTGTAAACAACTTTTCTGTGCAATTGCAATCGCAAGTGTTGTTCAAGGTTATTTCAGTGGGTGACTTGAAAAGTTATAAACGTGTGTTTTTTTTGGCTCAAGGTGTGTCTAAGATTGTTGACTTATTCAACTTATCACGGATTTTTCTTGTTTTGTAAGCAACTTTCATTGAAGTTGTAAGTGCAAGTGTTTTTCAATGTAGTTTCTGGCTTTTATATAATTAAAATAAATTGTTTTTTTTTCGGCTCCACTTGTGGCTGCTTAAAGATTGTCGGCTTTGATTACTTTTCGTCAGTTTTGTTCAGATGTTAATTCAATATTCGATTGTCTGATATCTTTGCCTAAATGAACTATTACCGAGGCTTACAAAATTACTTTTTTTTACGATATGCGAAGCTCCGATACGATGCTCCAAAATGAACCCCAAGTCAACCTTTTGCTAGAAATTAATGAGTTAAAACAGATTTTTTTGAGCTTTTACTTTTTTAGTTTTCTAGTTCTTTCTTCAATCATACCATCGTGTGAAGTCATCTTTACTGGTTCTTCAGCTTCTTGTTGTTTTAACTCTATACTGTGTGTATATAAAGAGGTCCTTAGCTCATATTCGCCTCTGCTTGCAATCGGTCACTATATCTTTGTTCAGGGGACTCATGGCTTGATGCCATCTATTGGATATACTGCAACAGACTTATTACCCTTGAAAGCAAGTGTCTTGTAATCGGGAACTAGACCCTTTTCCCGCAAACAGCCTTTATTTTCAAATTGCTTTGTTATTGAGTCTTGAGAAATTCCCGATTCCTTGGCACTTGGCTTAGTGGTAATACTGTGGCCTTTGCACCCTCAGCTGGAAGTCCTTCAAAAAATTCCGAAATAGCAAAAAAAAATAGCACTCTTCTCACTAATTTTAGTGGAGAAACAACAAAGATTTTGAGCAAAGTCCAAATTTTGAAATTACCCATTTTTTCATATAACAAAATCAAAAAATAACATACACAAACTTCCGCTTTAGCGGGGCCCCTAGTTGCCTTTTATCGAGACAGAAAATTTGTTAGTTCATCTGGTTTTTTTCAACATTTTTCATTTTTTTTCGACATATGGTTTGTGTTGTGTTATGATTGTGTTGTATCGCAATTGGTGCGAAGCTACGTTTCGCTTCCGTGCTTTAAGTATGCTGCATTTTGAGTTTTGGCAGTACCCGAAGCTTGTTTTTATATTGGTTGTAATGTTACCAACTAACTTCTTTTAAAATTTTCTTGTTATGTCCTTTTTTGTCTAATTGATAGGTTTCGGCCTTTTTTATGAAGGACTTCAATAAGTTTCGACCTATTTTTGGCTTTTTAGCTCATATTTTGCCGCTGTTTGAATACAAAAAACTTTTTTTGTGTGCGCGTCTTTTGAGGGGAGAAGGCCTTGAATTTTTTTGTACTTATCAAATCGGAACATAGATATTTTCCGGGTTAACAACTTTTTTTTAGCAGAATCACTTGGTATCTCGGTTCATAATGAAATCAAATTTTTAAGCGTCTCCGGCGCAATTATTTTGGAGGCAACGAATGCGTCTGGGACGGCGAAGATCTTGGGTTCGAATTCGACTAGGATTTAATTTTTTACAAACGGGAATTTCTCGGTTTCAAAAAAGTTTTCGCTTCTTATTTGTCTGCTTATATTTTGTCGGCTTAGTTGCCTCATCTTAGAACTTTTTGCCATATGCAGTTTTCATCGTATTTTTCTTTTTTCGCTGAAAATTTTTTTCGACCTTAATGATTTCGTCTTGTATTGGCTTGCTAACCTAATTTTGGGTCGCTCGTGGGAGTCATAATACGTTTGCTTTCCTCCGGTTTGCACAAAACGTGAAAAATCTCAGAATAGAGTTTATAGTTCAAATGACTACACTTTTGTTTCGCTCAATGATTGTTTTCGAATTTTCATTAAACGTCGTCGATTGTGTTTTCAGACGTGTTTTCCGTAAATAGAACATCATTCCAGTCAACATTTTTAATTGTGGTTTCTTCGAAAGTGTTTCAGTGTTCTTTGGACTTAGTGGCTCTCGTTTTCTTTCCTGTCTACTAGCTTGCAATGCTAATTTTATGGTATCGCTAGTGAAATTTATATCAGCTATGTATTTTTTCATTTATGAAGGTATTTTTTCATGAAGGTATTTTTAGGCCATTTCTTTTGCTACAAAAGCTGCATTTAAGAGCTTCATTGTAATGACTTAAAATATTTTTATCAACTTTATACGTTTATTTTAGGTTCTGTTAAATTGTTCTGGCTTTCAAAATAAATGTAAATATAATCGATTTCTTGAGACAATTTTTCTGGTAAACATTTTTGTCTTTTTTCAAGCCGGTCTTGGTTTTTTCTGCCGGTCTTTAGCTTTGTCTTCATTCTTCTCTTAATTTCCTTAGTCTCAATGGATCTAGGAAAACATTGGTAAAGCGAATTTAGTTCGAGATTGACTTTATTTCAATCAGTCAGTAACGCGGTCTGATCAGATAAATTGATGCGTTTTGTTTTTATTTAGGGTTTACTTATGGATCATGATTGGTTAGTATTGAAAAATTTCAAAATCTAATGAAAACTTACAAGCTGAACAAGATTAGGTTGAACTTATTTAGGCAGTTTCAGTTTTCTCTTTTATTGCTATCAGGATTTTTGTTCAAGTGTTTGTTCAAGGAGTTTTGTTTGATTTAAGACGATCAATTTTAAATATAATTTTCAATGTGTTTCTGAAGTTTTTTTACTCTCAAATACGCAACACTCATATTGCCGAAAAAGGATTATACTCTAAAATGGCGCCAGTGCTGTTTCCTTGGAAATTATTTTAAAAATCATGCGCAAAAGCTCACAGATTTTTCGGGATAACTTTTTCACCACAGTCCACTACTTGCCTGCAATTAAATGGTGTGGAAAATTCTAAAAAGCCTATTTGAGAACACAAATTGAACGAAGGAAAAATGAGCTGGCTTTCACTCTTTTTGACCACCAAATTGAGCTCTCCGATAACATACTGTACAATGAATCAACATTAATTTTTTAGAATCACCAATAGAATGATAAATGTCTAGGGATCGATGTTTCCCAAATTGAGCTATTTTAACAAAAGTATTCATCGTAATATTTTCTAATTTAAACGATTTGTTGTTTTTTTCCCAAAAAACAGAATTTTGTCTTGGTGCTGTTTCTGTTCAGTGTTGTTCTCGGGGAGTTTGAGTTATAATACGAGGTCACTTGAATATAATTACACATTTCAGCGAAATTGGAACCGCATGCTGAAGTCATACTCATTCTTGCTTCTATGATTTATGCAAGATTCAATTGTGCGATGAGACAGTCGTTGGTGGTGGGTCACTGAATGTGTCAGATATTATTACTGACTTTCAAGGAAAGTGACGAAATGTTTTTTCTTGGCGTGGTTGATGGCTTGAGCTCAAAAACAAACATGTTTCAGAGTCCTTTTTTGCGAAGTTGCGGAGGCTTGAAAATTGCCAATTTGACTAAATTTGGTTAATTAAAGGACAATAAATTTCCATTTATCAAAGTGTAAGTGGCTAATCAAATAATTTCGAAATGAATTGGAGCAGGCAATATGACAATTTTTGTTCCGACTTTTGAAGAAAGTGAGGAATATATATGCCCGGGGTGGTTTTTTTATTCAGACCGATTTTAGAAAAGTTGGCTGCGTATGGGCATCGATCCTGAAATCTGCACTCATAATTGTTCCAAATTGAATTGAGGTACGGTATGTTTGGTCTTATCAGTTCCATAAATGACATAAAATTTTAACTCTTTGATATGGTCAGTCTAAAACTCGTACTTTGTCGGTATTAATGGGCAGTCGGAGCATTCAAGGCTTTGCCCTGATACGAGTAGTCTTGTAATAATACGTTACCGGACGCAACATTTATCACGTTGTAGCTAAAGTAGCATGTAGGGAGTAGAATTGAGTAAGAAAATTTAAAAAAAGAAGATATTTTTGAGCTTTTTAAATTGCGCTTGCAATTAGCAAGCGTTATCTAATTGAAATACATTTTTTGGATAGCAATTTGTTTATAAAATCAATTAAATTATTTGATAGCCTGATCGATAATAAATTCAAATGTCTTGGTTTCTTCAGAACACATGGCTTAAAGATGACGACTAAGCCTGGTATCGCAAGTCAGGACCTGTTTTTTTTTCAACTGAAAAAATTCAGTTTCAAAAAAATTGTCGGCCTATTGTTTATTTGATTACGTTATCTCAACTTAGTTGCCACTTCATGGAATTTTTTGTGATGTAAGCAATTTTTAATGTAGTTGCAAGTGTTGTTTTCTACTTCAAAACTTTATCCACCCTGGCTTTGTGTATTTTCCTTTTGTTTTTTTTTTGCCTCAAAGCTTTATTCGGCCTAAAGGGTGTCGGCGTATGTTTCATTGGTTTAGTGATTTAATTTTGCGTCGTTGGAAGTGAATCAATTATTACACCCTCTATGGAAACACGTAAAAGGGAAGAAATTTTAGAATAACAGAACTTAATAGACAACCATTTTTCATGACAACAATTTTGTTTTCGGCTCAAAGGGATTTGACCCAGGTTTTGTCGACTTAGTTGCTGATCGGTGAATGTTTCTTGATACTTATTTCATACCGGCGAATATATTGTTGGACATCGGACATCATACGAGACAAAATTATTGTAAAGTGGAAAGGACGTTAAAGTGCTGTCAGATTTTTTAGGGCCCCTATACAAGTAGCCGTTTGTTTACAGTTGACGTTTGTTTGGTTAAAATATTTGGTTTTCACTTGTTTTCGAAGTAAAATTTTCTCAGTTTTATGTTATACTATTGTAGTTTTTTTTTCAATTTTGATTCTTTTTGTGAAAAAAAGTATTGAGAAAAATTGTAAGGATTTTGCTTTGCAGGGTGCATGAAAATTATAACCTCAATGAGCATTATAAATCTCAATGGAATATGTTACCATATGAAATGTTAAATCCTGTTTTAGATTTTTGAGTTTGTTTCGCAACATTATCATAGAAGAAAAGCAGCACCCATTTGAATGTTGGGCGACGGTAGCAGCAGCAGTCGAGGTAAAAAGAGAAGAAAGGAGAAGAGACCAGTTGATGATGGATTTAGACCGGAAGAAGAGGAAGACGTGAATGAATTGCTACTCGCAGCACTCTTGACGAAGGGCACCAACTACAGGAAAAAGGTATACTAACCTGTCCTATTTTTTTATTCAAGATTTTTCAAAAATCTGATGTATTTATAATAATAATAAAAATGTATTTTCCTTTCAATCTCCACAAAAATACATGAGAAATAGTTCAATTTACAAATCATTGAAAGATTCGGTTCGGATATTTTTCTTTTTCAGGCAGTGGACGATTCCAAGCCCTTCCAGCAGAGTGGAAATCTTATATCAATCAATACATTTGAAGCCAAAAACGAACGAAAGAAAAATCCTCCAAAAGACACTTTGTTATTAAATCTAGACTCGGTCAACAAGGATTTGAAGTCAAACGAAAACTCGGGAAACAGCACGCCAGTTCAAGACGAACCACGTGATCAGTTTGAGGCAAAGATGAGCAAAAATACGGAAGAATACACGAAAGAATTGAATGTGAAACAAAGTAAAGCGATTGATGATGATGATCGTTTAGATGCAATATCAGATTTTGATGATGATAATTCAGAACCGGATATAGAAGTTGAATTGAGAAATGAGTCAATGTTCCGAAGTAGCAGTCTCCACTCTGATGAGCTCATTTTAAGTGTTTCTGAAAATCGGACAAGACTCGATTCGCGAAATCAAAATCCAGCCGAAATGTATGACGAGAAAGTATCACCTGATTGCTTAGACATCAGCTCGGAGAAAGAAAAATTACAAACATCACTTGAAAAAGACGTCGATATTGAGTTCAATGCAGTTTTTTCGAAATCAAAGGAAGCCGAGGCTGAACTTGTTCTTGAGACGTCGCACCCTCCGCATCCAAAATCTTCGCTAAGTTTTGATGGAGACGATATTCTCAATTTTGATCTGGACGACTTGAATGATTTAGACAGTTTCCTTGACAAACATACTTCAGTCGAAAAGATAGACGCGAAAGAAATTTTGAAGCCTGAAAATAAGAGTTCTGAGCAACCAGCAAAGGATGTTGAAAATAAACCTATAAATAGTGAAAAATTGGAAGTTGTTAATAAAAACATCCAATCGAACGAGCCAAAATCTGGTGAACTTAAACTTCAAGACGAATTAAAATCTAAAAAGGAAATTCTTGTGAAGACGGATAAATCTGACGAAAAGAAAAATGCAATTCAAGAGAACGGAGATGAGAAAAAATCGATAGCTAAAAACGTTGCCAAACATGATAAAATTGTGTTTTCAGCGCCTGGTTCGCCCAGTTGTCATAGTCAAGATAACATCAAAGAAAAGAAAGATATTTCACAAAGTTCGTTTTCATCACCAGAAAAACCCGCCAGAAAAATTAATATCAAAGATTCCCCTCAAAGGAAAACTGTACCGACTAAGCGAGAATCTAAGTTAATGGAAAATTTGGACAAGGAGCTTGAAGCTTTCAAAGCTGGTCTTGATAAAATCGAAGTTCATAGAAAACCAGATAAAAATGCGAAGCGAAAACCGGTTCAGTACACGAATTTAGACTTTGGCCCATCGGGTAAAATTGATAAAGACTTGTTTAAAAAGCAGTCACGTGATGATGATTGTGAACGAAAAAAGAAACGTGAACGTAAAAGGTCAGCTTCTCGTGAAAAGAAACGAAAGCACAGAAAACGAAGAAGAAGCTCAACCCCTCCTACTTCGGAAAGTTCCGAGAGTTTTGTCTCATCTGACGAATTGGAAAAGGACTCGCAAGATAGCTCCACTAACCCGAAGTACAGTGATTTAGAAGCGATGTCGAGCGAGTCTTCTGATGACTCTTTTTTGAGCGATGATCGAAAAAAGAAAAAGCGAAAATCAAAAAACGATCGTGAAAGAAGAAAAAAATTGAAAGCTGAGTTGAAGAGAAAAATAAGTAAGGATAGCAAGAAATCTAAAAAGAGAGTCAAACGTGAATTAAACCGAGACGAGGGAAAACGCACCAAGCGACCAAAGGATTTCAGTGAAAACGGCGAAGATGAGGATGAAGAAACTCTGCCGACATTTAGAAAGACGATAAAACTATCGCATAATTACGAAGATTTTTCAGACGACGGAGATCCTTACTCACATTTAAAGCCTTCTAGCGACCTTGATTCGGGTTCAACTTCGACTAAATTGACTGCAAATTTCAGAATTGCGGCAGATGAAATTGAAAACGACGATGATGTTATCGATTTTGAAGAGGATGATGATATATTTAAGATCGCCGACATTGAGAAAACGGGAAAAGCTGGTATCAAATCTGGTTCCAAAAAGTTAACTCAATTAGAAAGGTTAAAATTAAAGCACAATCAAGTTTCGTATTCTGATGATGATTGCATAAATAATGAAGGGGAGGTGGAAACATTATTTGGGCGACCGAAAGTAATGATGTCGAAAAATTCATTGGAAGTAGGTTCGAATCTGGCAGCTTCCAGTCTAGGCAGACGAGTTATGGTTCAAAAGTCACCGAAATCGAAGGCTCGAAGAATTGGTGAGTTATCGAAAGAAACGAAACCTACCGAGTCAACGAGTGACCCGGAGAGCATATCAACTTCGAAAGCGAGCCGAGCAATTAGCGGTCTAAATGTCAAAGACAGATTGACTTTAACAACTAAATTGCAAAAGAGTATATCAAGTAATGCGTTGAAAGGATCGAGTGGTCGTGTAGCAGAATTACAAACTAGCCGATCGGTGCATTCGAGACTAGGAAGTGGGACCGCAGGATCACGGGGAAGCAAAAGTTCAGCTGGACATAATAACAACAACGCGCTCTCTCGATTCCTGTAACTCCCAATTGACTGCATTATATCATACGAAATAGACAGTTGGTTGAAGGACTGTAAACTTTAGCGATTACCTAAGAAAAAACCATCAATCAAGATGATAGAGTACAAATTGTGGACGCGGCTGAAGGCAAAATGATGTTAATTTATTGAAACCAGAACTCAATGATTGATGGTTTTTTATATATACATGCTAACACTCCTCAGTTTCTTCTCATTATTCAGAGTTTAGTTCAGAATTTGTTTTCAACCTTCACTTTTTGATCCCTTTTAAATAGAAGCTGAGGGTAATCTGATGTGTTTCGGGGGTAAAGCTAAAGCTCCAAGCTTGTTTGAGGATGAGACAGGAGGTATAAACACAGAAAGTTTAGTTTTAAAAAACAGATTTATTGACCTAATCGTACTTCTTGGAACCTAAATGTATTCACTATTTGAGAAGTGAAGACAAAATTTTTTTATGTACATTGAAATTGCTTCAATCGCAAGTCCTTGCAGTGGCAACTAAGTCGGACCAGGTTCGACCAAACTCTCACCAGATTCAAGGTACTGACCAGATTCGAACCAATGACCTTCATCGTTGTATGGACGTTACCATGGTCAAACTCAGCGCCATCAAATTTGAATTTATTACAAGCCAAGCTATCAAATGGTTCAGTGATTCTATAAGTCAAGTATAGGTAACCCGGAAAAAGTCGACGTTCAGATTTGAAAATGCTTGCTAGTCGCAAGAGATAGAGACAACACGAAGTCATAAGAAAACAAGGAACTTAGTTGTCTTTGACTGGACTTGCGATGTAAGTAGTTTTCTTAATTGTTGCTCTTGCGATAAGCAAGGGCATTTAAAGTGTTTTTTTTCCTTAAAGAACTTTGGATATAGGACGAAATGGAAATGAGTGTATTATATAATATCAACTGCTGAGGTAAAAGCATGGCTAGTGTAGTGGTTGCATATGTGCCTTGAGTGCACTTTGAAAAAAATTGCTAAGTTTTTTTAAGTCGAAGTTTAGCTGTAAACTGTGATAGGTCGGTCAGCTTCGATTCTGTCGGCTTATTTTCTAATGTTTATAGTCGATTAGTTTTCGATTATTTTATATGAGAATGATATTGTTCCTACAAGAAAGTTTTTTTGAAAAGTTTGCATCACGGATAAGAGGATGGTATTTTTTGGCTTTTCTATCGTTTAAAAAACTTTATTTCTCATGTGACCTGCTGTAGTGTTCATGTGTTTGGTGCAGGTAATTGAGTTCCAAGTTTTTTATGCCTATTTTGTACAGTGTTGCTGAGCAACTGGTTTTAACTTTTATCTAATGGCTTTCTAGCCTTTATTGCTTGGGAAGGTAGCCGCTTTATTTGATATGCGTTGGATGAAGATAGCCTCAAATGCTATCAAATCCAAAAGTAATTTCTTTCCGAACTTTTTGTTTATTTTATTCTAAGAGAGTATATCGTTTGTAGATGGGATCTTGAGTTAGTTTTTTTTCAGTTTTTTTTCGAATTCATTTGGTTTTTATCTGGTTTGTATAGGTCAGAGGTTTGAAATAGTATAGCCATCTAATTTTCTATAGATTTTTTTTTGAAATTGCTTATTGTTTTCTCATTCGTTCGTAGGTTTTGAATTACTTTTGAGTTTCTAAGAAATTTTTACACTGATTTTATTTGTCCTGCGTGAACTACACTTGCATCATGTTATTGCTTATCATTTTGCAATTAAAATTTTCATTTTTTTTTTCAAATTTGTTGGATTCAGGTAGAATTTGAGGGTAATGTGATTTTCGGGGGTAAAACTAAAGCTCCAAGCTTGTTTGAGGATGAGACAGGAGGTATAAACACAGAAAATTTAGTTTTAAAAAACAGATTTATTGACCTAATCGTACTTCTTTGAACCTAAATGCATTCACTATTTGAGAAGTGAAGACAATTTTTTTTTATTTACATTGAAATTGCTTCAATCGCAAGTCCTTGCAGTGGCAACTAAGTCGGACCAGGTTCGACCAAACTCTCACCAGATTCAAGGTACTGACCAGATTCGAACCAATGACCTTCATCGTTGTATGGACGTTACCGTGGTCAAACTCAGCGCCATCAAATTTGAATTTATTATAAGCCAAGCTATCAAATGGTTCAGTGATTCTATAAGTCAAGTATAGGTAACCCGGAAAAGGTCGACGTTCAGATTTGCAAATGCTTGCTAGTCGCAAGAGATAAAGACAACACGAAGTCATAAGAAAACAAGGAACTTAGTTGTCTTTGACTGGACTTGCGATGTAAGTAGTTTTCTTAATTGTTGCTCTTGCGATAAGCAAGGGCATTTGAAGTGTTTTTTTCCCTTAAAGAACTTTGGATATAGGTCGAAATGGAATTGAGTGTATTATATAATATCAACTGCTGAGGTAAAAGCATGGCTAGTGTAGTGGTTGCATATGTGTCTTGAGTGCACTTTGAAAAAAATTACCAAGTTTTTTTTAAGTCTAAGAGTTTATTTTATTCTAAGAGAGTATATCGTTTGTAGATGGGATCTTGAGTTAGTTTTTTTCAGTTTTTTTTCGAATTCATTTGGTTTTTATCTGGTTTGTATAGGTCAGAGGTTTGAAATAGTATAGCCATCTAATTTTCTATAGATTTTTTTTTGAAATTGCTTATTGTTTTCTCATTCGTTCGTAGGTTTTGAATTACTTTTGAGTTTCTAAGAAATTTTTACACTGATTTTATTTGTCCTGCGTGAACTACACTTGCATCATGTTATTGCTTATCATTTTGCAATTAAAATTTTCATTTTTTTTTTCAAATTTGTTGGATTCAGGTAGAATTTGAGGTGGAATTTGAGTTTTTAAGAAATTTTTACACTGATTTTATTTGTCCTGCGTGAACTACACTTGCATCAGGTTATTGCTTATCATTTTGCAATTAAAATTTTCATTTTTTTTTTCAAATTTGTTGGATTCAGGTAGAATTTGAGGGTAATGTGATGTTCGGGGGTAAAACTAAAGCTCCAAGCTTGTTTGAGGATGAGACAGGAGGTATAAACACAGAAAATTTAGTTTTAAAAAACAGATTTATTGACCTAATCGTACTTCTTTGAACCTAAATGCATTCACTATTTGAGAAGTGAAGACAATTTTTTTTTATTTACATTGAAATTGCTTCAATCGCAAGTCCTTGCAGTGGCAACTAAGTCGGACCAGGTTCGACCAAACTCTCATCAGATTCAAGGTACTGACCAGATTCGAACCAATGACCTTCATCGTTGTATGGACGTTACCATGGTCAAACTCAGCGCCATCAAATTTGAATTTATTATAAGCCAAGCTATCAAATGGTTCAGTGATTCTATAAGTCAAGTATAGGTAACCCGGAAAAGGTCGACGTTCAGATTTGCAAATGCTTGCTAGTCGCAAGAGATAAAGACAACACGAAGTCATAAGAAAACAAGGAACTTAGTTGTCTTTGACTGGACTTGCGATGTAAGTAGTTTTCTTAATTGTTGCTCTTGCGATAAGCAAGGGCATTTGAAGTGTTTTTTTCCCTTAAAGAACTTTGGATATAGGTCGAAATGGAATTGAGTGTATTATATAATATCAACTGCTGAGGTAAAAGCATGGCTAGTGTAGTGGTTGCATATGTGTCTTGAGTGCACTTTGAAAAAAATTACCAAGTTTTTTTTAAGTCTAAGAGTTTATTTTATTCTAAGAGAGTATATCGTTTGTAGATGGGATCTTGAGTTAGTTTTTTTCAGTTTTTTTTCGAATTCATTTGGTTTTTATCTGGTTTGTATAGGTCAGAGGTTTGAAATAGTATAGCCATCTAATTTTCTATAGATTTTTTTTTGAAATTGCTTATTGTTTTCTCATTCGTTCGTAGGTTTTGAATTACTTTTGAGTTTCTAAGAAATTTTTACACTGATTTTATTTGTCCTGCGTGAACTACACTTGCATCATGTTATTGCTTATCATTTTGCAATTAAAATTTTCATTTTTTTTTTCAAATTTGTTGGATTCAGGTAGAATTTGAGGGTAATGTGATTTTCGGGGGTAAAACTAAAGCTCCAAGCTTGTTTGAGGATGAGACAGGAGGTATAAACACAGAAAATTTAGTTTTAAAAAACAGATTTATTGACCTAATCGTACTTCTTTGAACCTAAATGCATTCACTATTTGAGAAGTGAAGACAATTTTTTTTTATTTACATTGAAATTGCTTCAATCGCAAGTCCTTGCAGTGGCAACTAAGTCGGACCAGGTTCGACCAAACTCTCACCAGATTCAAGGTACTGACCAGATTCGAACCAATGACCTTCATCGTTGTATGGACGTTACCGTGGTCAAACTCAGCGCCATCAAATTTGAATTTATTATAAGCCAAGCTATCAAATGGTTCAGTGATTCTATAAGTCAAGTATAGGTAACCCGGAAAAGGTCGACGTTCAGATTTGCAAATGCTTGCTAGTCACAAGAGATAAAGACAACACGAAGTCATAAGAAAACAAGGAACTTAGTTGTCTTTGACTGGACTTGCGATGTAAGTAGTTTTCTTAATTGTTGCTCTTGCGATAAGCAAGGGCATTTAAAGTGTTTTTTCCCTTAAAGAACTTTGGATATAGGTCGAAATGGAATTGAGTGTATTATATAATATCAACTGCTGAGGTAAAAGCATGGCTAGTGTAGTGGTTGCATATGTGTCTTGAGTGCACTTTGAAAAAAATTGTCAAGTTTTTTTTAAGTCTAAGAGTTTATTTTATTCTAAGAGAGTATATCGTTTGTAGATGGGATCTTGAGTTAGTTTTTTTCAGTATTTTTTTCGAATTCATTTGGTTTTTATCTGGTTTGTATAGGTCAGAGGTTTGAAATAATATAGCAATCTAATTTTCTATTTAATTTTTTTTGAAATTGCTTATTGTTTTCTCGTTCGTTCGTAGGTTTTGAATTAATTTTGAGTTTTCAAGAAATTTTTACACTTATTTTATTTGTCCTGTAAAAGGCTGTCAAAGTCTAATTTGAATAATGAATCAGAAATTAGTGGTTCTTGAATTATTTCGTAATTAGGCGATTTACAAATGGTTTTCATGTTTGTCCTCTGGGCATTTTAATGCAAGACTGCCCAGTTTTTCTGTCTACGTTTAACTTCCAATATGAAGTTAAAAGTATATTGAGAAAATTACAATCATTTTATCTATTTTCAGTGAAGATCCCTCTATAGCAACCTATGGAAAAACAGCGTGGAAACAATTTAAATTTATTTGAAGACAAAAATTATTATTGTTACATTATTATTCTGTAAATATTTATTACACTAGACAAAATTTGCATGAACTACACTTGCATCATGTTATTGCTTATCATTTTGCAATTAAAATTTTAATTTTTTTTTTCAAATTTGTTGGATTCAGGTAGAATTTTTTGCCTGTTCAATTTCTTAGAATATTTAATTTTTCAGCTTATGATTTAAACTCGATTCCTCAATTTTTCGATTCTCGCATTTTTCTTGAATTAATTTTCTGCATCTCAAGCGGGGTGAAGGTCTGCTCTGCCTCTGTGCTTAAAATCTTTTTTTTTCAAGAAATATAGCTCAATTTATAAAAAATTTATATACGATCTTAGTTTTTATTTTGTTTTCTTTCTATTCGTAGTGGAAGGAAGGCAATGAAATTAGCTGCATTAGCACGGACTTGCGGTTTAAGCAGTTTCTGGTATATTTTAGTTTCTTTTAATTTTGTTTCTGTAATGTTGAAGTATTTGAGTTTAAATATTTTAGCTGAAAAAAAAAATAGAATAAATTGATATTCAGTTTTTTGTAATTTTCATTTTGCTTTTTCATCTCCCGCTTAGTCTCAACTAAGCAATGAACTTAGTTGCTATTACACGGGATGTGATTTAAACAATTTTTACTGTAAATGAAAATCCTTTCGATTTATTCCTGTAATGGTGCGGGCATTTGACTTCCAGGAAAATCGTTCATAGTCAAAATAAGAATTCAGCATGAAGAGTAAAAAATTCAGACTAGTTTTTCTCGCTCGGCGACTCTTTGTTGATTTTTTGATACACAACTTCAAGGACTTTAAGTTGGTCAAAATTAGTAGCTCCTGAGATAGTCAAAATCGGTCGAAAAATCCACCATACTCCATAATTCCCTCCAGTCACTTTCAGTGACGTTGTCGGATCAATAACTGACCGGCAACAGCAAAATGGATGACACATTCCCCTCCCTTACGGTTGATCCTGCATTGAGTAGGATCTGGGTTTTAAAAAACTTACTGAGTTTGTTGAGACTTTTTCAGAAAATTTGATTTGTCATGCCTCTAGTTGAAGTAGACATGGACGAGTTCCTGGTTCCCCAATCGAGGAGACAGATGCGAGAGAGTGCAGTCTCCTTTGCTCCTCAGACCACAGCTGATCCAATGCCAATTTATGACCTGAACAGACCCATTTCCTGTGGAACCACCACCATTTGCATGGAGTTCGAAGGAGGCGTCGTGTTAGGTGAATTCCAACTAAATCTAGTTCTTATGTTTTTTTGTTACTGTGGCCATTAAATGTTAAGATTTATACTTTGTTTACTACCTCGTGTGGTTTCTAGTTTTTGTTTACTGTAGCACAAGTCATGAGGTCCATTCACATTGTTAGTGTTTTTCTTGAAATTAGAATCCATTTTTTAAAATCAGAGCTTGAAGTGCTCCTGGGGCTTAATATAGTTTTATCGAAGTTTATCAAAATGAATTGGTTTCAATACGTTTTCAAAAGAATTCCTAAATTAATTATTCACAATGTTTAGAATAATTTTTCATCTCGTGAAACGTACTCGTTGCAGGCGCTGACAGCCGAACCTCTTCTGGGCCCTTCATCGTGAGTCGTGTCACTGACAAACTCACCAAAGTAGTCGACAACGTCTACGTCTGCAGAGCAGGAAACGCAGCGCACACCCAAGCACTCACAGATGTAGTTGCCTATCACATGGATTTCTACAAAATGAACAATAAAGGCAAGCATCCCCCGGTTGAGCTAGCAGCCAACACGTTCCAGGATCTGGGCTATAATTACAGAGATCAACTGTTGTGCAGTTTTGTAGTCGCAGGTTGGGATGATATCAAAGGAGGCCAGGTGTATCAGGTCCCGATAGGAGGTCTTATCTCTCGCTTGCCCTGGTCAATGGGGGGATCGGGCAGTATCTACGTGTACGGGTACATGGATGCCATGTTCAAAGAGGGAATGAAAAGAGACGAAGCTATTAACTTTATGAAGACATTATTGGGTATGGCGATCAGTCGCGACGGAGGCAGCGGAGGAATAGCGAGGGTGGCGCTGATTACCAAAGATGGAGTCGAAAGGATGACCTTTTCAGAAGACCAAGGAAATCTGCCCCTGTTTAGAAAGTGAAGTTTTCATATGATACACCACTGAACTTGGGATAAAATGCAATGAATGAGTAGAAAAGTGCTGTATGGTTTGAAGTTTGTTCGCTGATTGGATGGATAAATATAGTTTAATTGGACGGTCGTCAAAGTTCCTGTTATTTGTTTAATATTAATTTGACCCCAGTAATTTGGTCGCATTAAGATTTCGAAAGCCGTTAAAAATTGTGGGTTAATTTACATTTAAATGGTTGTGTAATTTGAAGATTTATTTTCAGAATAGCACATGGGTTCGACCTGTAAATAAATTAGTTGTAATTATTGTAAATTTCTTGTATTATATGTAACTGCACAACAGAAGCTATAAAAGACAACCATTCATTTTTTCTCTATTTTTTATTTTATTGTTCGTTGGCGGTTCTCATTGTTGTATCCGATATCATTGCAACTTACAATCAATTATCAGTTAAATGAGGCTTTGATGCAAAGTGAATTTTTCACTTCACTTTCTATCACGAACATTTATCAAGAGAAAGAGAAAAGTATCAAAAGATTACTTAAACAAAAAGTAACTTGATCGAGCGCTCCAACCAACTACCAGTAGGCAAGCGAATAGCAATATTTGATCCCGATAAAAAAGGCACCGTTGTTTGAGTCTAATTCAGAAGCAGTGAAGTATTTTTTCACGAAGTTGCTTCTATACAGTGCAAATCTGTGAATTCCGTGTGGTCTGCAGCGTGCTTTTGTATGAATCGACTTTCCGCTTGACCGTTGACAATCAAGAACTTTATTAAAACAAAGACGAAAAAGTCTAGAAAGACTGAGATCTCATAAAAAAATCGAAAACTCTCAATCGTTTCGAGTGGCTAGCAGTTCATTAGAAAGATCTTCTGCACAACACAAACAAAAGAAGGTCAGTTGAGCCCAAGTAAAGAAGCAAGGTCAAGGTCATTGGAGATCTATTAAGAAGCATTGACGTGCGTGCTCTCGCTGTGTATCCCTGTGATTTGTATGGTTGGCCATAGTAAGTATGGACTTGGAGCAGAAGAAGCAGCAGTGTGGAGTGTGGGCTAAAAAAGTGGAGAGTGCGTGTGAGGAAGACAAGTGGGGCCACGTATTGGACGCTTCCGATCAATACCAACAGGCAAGTCAATCAAATACACTTTTTACGAGGTGTTCACTACACCTTAAAAAACAGGTAGTCGCTTGACTGGCTGTGAGAATAGGGTCGAGCGTAGAGATTCGTTCCTATGGATAACCAGATAGTGAAACACCAGTTTGCCAAGTGTTTTGTGCTGCAGATAGTTCATGATAATAATTGTTAAATTTTAGAGTTCTGGCCAACAAGCTCTGATTTTTCATTTTACACTAAATTGTCCATGTAATTCAAGTAATAATAATAAAAAAAAGTGCTTCAAATGTTCAAATTTCAATTGTTTGGGGCTGATTTGTGTTACTGTGATCAGGTGCTGAAGTCTATTGCGAACTCTGTTCACATCCGTGAAGATGGTCAGCTGGGGGACAACAACAATGAAGGGGAGATCAAGTGGACGGGACAGGAGACTGAGTTCCTGCAGAATGTGGCCATGTGTCTCAAGGTGTGTACTATATAAATAAACATATGCCAAGAGTTCTCTTTTGAAAAAAGAAAGTTATTAAGAGTAATGAACGTAGTGAAGACTCTTATATAATAGGTCTTGCTGATTTTTTTTTTTTCAGGAATAAGTCTTAATATTTGTTCACGCTCAATTTTGATTTTTTGCGGTCTGATTGTGATTTCTTTATAAGTTCAGTACATTTCTATTGTTAAAAGGAAGGCAAACTCCGCTATCGAAAAGCAAAATTGTAAAGGTCACGATCGACTTCAAATTTCGAAAATGGAAATAAGTTATCAGATTTCCCAGTGAGATAAAAGCTATACCTATTGATCCAGTTTTCTCAAATTGGGTTAATTCTAACATAAAAAGTGTCCATAATTAATTGTTCTACAAATTGAAACAGCTTTAAGGCCGTCTAATTTTTTATTCGAAATTCAAAAGTTGAAAAATTTTGAAAAAAAACATGTCGTTTTTTTTTCAGTTTCCTTGCGTTCATTACTCTTTTGCAACTGTCAGGTGGTGAAGTGGTTACGTCTCCGCGTCTCAGTCGAAAGGTCGGATGTTCGAGGCCCACCATGATCCGTGCTCGTTGCTTGAGGGTGAAGCAACATTACCCAGCCCAGAAAAAAAACCAAAAAATAGCATGTAGTTCTTAAACAGGGGCACAACAGCGGTTCGCCGTGATGAGCAGCTGTACAGCTCTTGTGTTGGTCCTTTCCCCCGTGGATAAATGGTCTTAATCGTTGTCAGTTGGCTTTGTTACTAACCTGTTGCTTGAGTTATACTAACCCGTTGTTTTAGTTATACTGACCGGCCAGCAAGATCATGAAACTGATATCTGATTGATCGATTTATTAATTATTCTGACCACTCCTTTTTCCGCCCGATTAAAGATACCCCTAACCTAGACTGGAAAGATTTTTTTCCTCTATGGGCCTCACCTACAGAAAACTCCGTAGTTCACTTGGCGTCGAAAAAGCAGGCAAAATGTCTTTTCTGTTTAGACAGTGGAACAAATGAAGTTTTGCCTTGAAACGTGTTTTTTCGTGAGTTTTCAATTTAACAGCTGAATGTGTTAATTAACGTGTTATTTTGGGTTTTTAACAATTTAACAGTTAAAAAAAGGATAATTTACACCTATTTTGACAGCCTTGCCCCTAGGAAAGCTCCATAAATCACTTCAAAATATTCCGTAAGACATTGTCAAAAAATCCACTTATCGAGAATTCAGACCAAACTGAGCGAAGAGCAGAAAAAATTGCGTCATCATGTTTCTCACTATTCCTTATATTCATGGTCATTTAATTTTAAGAAGCATATAATATGCGAGTTGTCAAACATTTTTTAAAAATAAATTAATTTTTTTAAAAAAAGAACCATTTTGCAATTTTTCTGTGATAAAGAAGTTTCTGTGCCATTTTAAAAGCTACCTTTGTTTTATCTGAAGCTAGGTTTTTTGAATTCCGCTCGAAAATTGAAGATTTCAGCCTCTAAAATATCAGAAAAATTATGGAAAAATAATACTTCAAACAGATTTTCTTCTTGAACTTAATTTTTTTTTGTTTTTAGCAACGTGTAGACGTTTTGATCCAGTCTCCGATCTCAAAAGACAAGCAATTCTCGCGCGACAAGGTAGCAGAAGTTATTCCTCCATTGCGCAACTTCTCACTTCGTCTCCCTAACTCACCGACCAATCAGAATAATACGTCTGAAGGAGATCCTGAGCAAGCGAGTAATAGCAGACAGAGACAAAGGAAACAGTCGCAGCAGATGTTGGCCAAGTGGAAGGTTAGACTAAAATGTCAATAGGGAGCTGTAAAAAATTCTTTTCAAGTGTCCTTTCCCTCAATGTATGATCGCATTTTTTTAGATTGTCTTTTTTAACGTGATTGTTTTTTTTTAACCTGATTGTAAGATTGTTTTTTTTTCAAATATCCATGAACGTAGTGGAGACACTTGTATGGTGTAGCGCCAATTGGTCGCACGTGAGAATTGGTCGAAATTAGAAAACTGAGAATTTGTCGCAAGGAAATTTATCAGGATTCTTTGCTTAGTAGTTCGTGAAATATTTGATATCGAATCCCACACCCGCTAAGGCTGGCCGTTTGGCAAATCAAAGAAATTTGCTTGAATTTGGTAAGTTTTATGGCAAATTATTCCGCGAAGAATTGTCGTTTCTTAAAATGCTACCATTATCCCCCTGCAAGCAGTAGTTGCTTGCGACGAATTGTCGCCTCGCACACTTCACTTGGTTTTTTTCCTTTATTTTTTTTAAAGAAGAGTCTTAAAAGTAGAGGCTGGAACTTTGTTTATTTTAAATTTGATTTCAAATTCATTTGCAAAAAGAAAGAAAATTACGGTCTTTGTTAAACGAAAGTTTAAAATAACACTGAAAAACACATTAACTTCTAGTGTCAGAGATGGATTTTAATTTTCAGAGTTCCCAGCGGAAAAAAAATGTCATTGGAAAAAACTGATCAATTGAATTATCATTGGAAAAATTGATCCTAGCGGAAGAAATTGATTGATTGGCCCAGTTTCCTCTGGTTTAAAAAAAGGTGGGCGTTTTTCGGTCTCCTTGAGTTCTGAGATCATTGAAACTTCACTGTTTGTGGACTATGTTTTCGTTTATCTGATTTTAGTGATACTTTTTCAAGTGTATATCGGCTGTATTTAGTTAACTTGTTTCTCGATTTTTTTGTGATCTTTTATCTGACTAATTGGAAAGAAGAAGATTTTATATCTCATTGTTAATGGTAAACATACAAACGAAAATTATATCATGAAACAACAGAAACAGTGAGTGGACAGCTAACAAACCCATGTGGGTTACAAAGCTCTGCCCGTTTTATCGAATGAAATAGTAATTGGAGATCTTCATAGAAAGTTATAAGTATTTCCGAAAACATTGAAGAAAATTTAAGAAAAGAAAAAACCTCAAAGATTGAGTAAACATAAAACAGCAGAAATATGACATTGTCTTGAGGTTAATTCGATAAGGTCCGAGCTCTGCGTCAGTATTTAAAATGATTGTTCAATCATAGTTTTTTTGAAATCAAATTAAACAAGAAAAAAGTTCAAAAATACAAGTGCATCTGCACAAATTTCTGAAACTTGCTAGTCGTAGGCACCCCTATTCGATTTCATAAATAAAACTTGAACTTGTTGGTCTAATTCAGCTCTGCTGCAGTTGCAATTTTTTAACAAGCTGACTTTAATTTAGGAAGGAAGAGTAGTTGAGCTAGATGCGAGTGCGGAGCATCTGGAGAACAATCTAGCATCCAGTCGGAAAGAGTCACTGGTCGACTCCACATTGAAGAAGAAGAAAGGAGTCGAAGATGACGATGGGCCTCTCTCTGTGGATCCCTACGAAATGACTGTGAATACTGTAGTCGCTGTATCTAAACCAGGCAATTTGCTACAGCTACCTAAGAAAAAGGTAACCAACGTGCTCAAAACTTCTTGGTATTTATTGTGGTAAAATTGTGGTATTTTTTTTTTGCTAAAATGCTTTTTCAAAAAGATCAGTTTTAAGAATTTCACCGAAAGCTTAATTATCTGATGGTGTATTATTACGTATCTTCTTTTTTTTCTGACCTCACTCAAAAATAAAAATGTGTATAAAAGTGTTCTCTTATTTGGAAGTTTCACTGTAACATTGAAAATTGACTATCATCTGTTCCCTGCTTTATTGGTGGCTAGTGTTTGGTAACCGTTAAGCGTCTATGGCTCATTGGTTAGTATGTGAGACTCTTAGTCTCTAGGTCGCGGGTTGAAATCCCAGACATAGTTGAATTTTTAAGAGTAATGAACGTAGTCAAGACTCATATATAGGTCTTGCTGATTTTTTTAAGGAAAAGTCTTATAAGTGTCTCTAATAACTACAGATGTGCATTCATACATATTGATGCATTAATGAATGCACTTAGGTATATATGCATTTTTAAAGTTCCATTGAAATTCATCTGCTGAAAGTGACGTAAATAGCACTCTCCGAAAAACGAACGTAGAAATGGCGCAAAAAAACGTGAATGATTTCTAGTTTCGAAAGTGGAATTTAATTTTCAGATTTCCAGCGTAATAAAAATTTTACCTAATGATCGAGTTTTCTCTAGTTGGGATCATGTTATCAAAAAAGCGCCAATCATAAATCGTTCTGGAAACTCAAAGAGCTCAAAGGACATCTATTTTTTTCTTTAAAATTCGAAAGTTGATATTTTCTCTAGAAAGTCAGTGTTTTTTAATGTTCATTGCGTTCATTACTCTTTTCCAATCTTTGATTGGCTATGTTTACTAATTCAAGGCTTATTTCTAGTTTTTTTATTGCAGTTTATAGAGCTGCTTTTTGTATTCTCGCAAGTGTTTGAAAAGCGAAGCTTCGCCTCTGCGTAATTGATTATAAAAGCTCTGCATTTTAATTAGATTTTCCATTTCTTGGTTTTAATATTAATTTTAAAGATTCTGCTTGATGTTTTGTTTTGACCATGATCTTCCCATTTCCCATGTATTCCTTACTCTTGCAATCTAGACTTTTTCCGTAAATAACTTCGTTCACCGAATGATCAATTTAGTAGGAATGGTAAAAATTGTTTCTAACATGCTCAATTCTTTGAAAGTTCAAATAAAACTACCATCATTTATATAGCAATTAGGTTAAGCCCGTTTCAGGTTGTTTTTTTTTCTTCAAAAAAAGAGCTACTGAGTTTCGTCCTAATTTTTGTTGGTTCATTTTCCGTTTTTTCAAAGCCATTTTGATCTGATTCGATTGTTATTGGGTTAATTTCTAAAACATGGTATTTGTTCAATTTGAATAGTTTTTTTTCTACTATAATGAAAGTTCAGTAATTTGTAACTTACCAATTCTGATTTCGGGTAATTTTTTTTGTTTTTCACTGGATAGGCGCACAGTTTGGTGTGTATGTTTCTGGATTCCAGAGAGGTTTTTAAATATGCTCCAGAAAGTAAGTGGATTCCACTCACATTTTCCGTGGATTCCGCGTGCAAATACCTGTAACGTAAATCTTGTAGACATATTTTTTTTGTCGCGGATTTCGCAACAAACGAATACAGCTAGTTGTTTTAGATTCCGCAACTGTCAGCGGACTCCGCTAAATGGAAGTGGATTCCGCAATTTTGTTTATTACTGAACTAAACTAGTTGTTGCATATGAGCAATTAACAGCTAGAGCTGGAAGGAAGGCTAGAGCTGCGGAATTGAAAAGCAAGGACTTAACCATTGTCAGCGGAATCCAGGACACAAATCATAAAACATTTATCGAAGTTGGGTGTAAGTTGGCAGGAATTGAGATCGAAGCCTGGGTATTTCAGCTAGTAGCTCAGCTGTTAGCAATAATTGAGATTGAACTCGCTGGTGGCCACCTTTAAATATAAGTTTTAATTTAATATGATACTATATGCACTATATATTATAAAATGCGGAATCTGCTTACAATTTGCGTATTACGCCCACAGTTCTGGATTCCGCACAGCTCAATTTAACTATACCTATATTTAATAATTGTTTGTGGGTTCCGCAAATTCGCCTATTTTTGGGGCAATTTCGAGCGGTACAGTGTCTTAGTTATATATTTGTGGAATAAAAAACAGCAAAGAAGATAAGGGAAAAATAGCAAATTTGCGGGTTCCGCGCAAAATTTGATATGCCTACAATTCACAAAAAAGCACAGTTTGGCCTTGGATTAATTTCTAAATAATTTAGCAGTTTTAGTTTATTTTATGTCGGCTTAGTCAACTTACATTGCCTAATTTTGAGGGCAAAAATATTCGCATGCGATTGTGATTCTAAATGGATGGGTCGTAAAAACTTCTAAACCTATTGAAATATTTTATGAAAACAGTTTTGTTGTCGGCTCAACAGGTTTCGAGCCAAAATTTGTTGCCGCTCGGTTTTTTACTTGCTATTTTTTCAAGTAATTTTTTCAACTTAATCTCAGATTTTCTTTTACTTTTTGTTTGCAGCCTGGTGAAACCTTGTTGAGTGTGAGCATATTGAAAGTGGGTTTGAAAGATGCCCACAAGACTCTGGAAACTTTCTGGACTGTGAGTGTGAAGGACACTGAAGGCAAAGATGTGACTGAGATCCAGGAGACACCCTCTTGTGGTGTAACTGAGCAAAACTATATCACATTTGACACTGTTGTACACATACAGGTTCGAAACAAAATAATAAAATGCGAAATATTATTTGTTAGGAGACCAGCTTTGCACTGTTATTCAAAACCTGGGATGATTTTTGTAATTATTCTAACGAGGAAAATGAAATCATCAGTTTGCAGTATGTAATGGTTTGAATGAATAATATGGTAACTCATAGCTTCAAATTAGCTGCTAAGATCAATTACTTATTTGATATGTCTTTTTTCGGGAAAGAATATCTTTTTTTAGAAACCATTGGAATCTTTGCCTGAGAAATGGGCCATCTTCTTCGAACTCAAACACTACAGAGTGGAGAAGAATGCCTGCGGTGTTAAGTGTTGGGCCATGTTGGAAAGTGATGAAGTCAAAAATCATGAGGGCAAAAAAGGAACCCATAAGCAGGACGTGATTTTGGAACTGTACAAGAAACCGACAGATTTCAAACGCAAGAAAATGTCTCTCTTAACGAAAAAAGAACTCTATCTTCACTTGCAGCTCACTACCGTTGCGTAACAGTGACTTAACTTCCGAATCATTTTAGTTGATTATTTACAGCGCATCATCAATCATCAAACAATTTTTTGAAAATCATGGGTGCTGGTAATTCATTTTGATTATAAATTGTGCTTTCTAGTAACATTGGGTTCTAGTAGTATCAAATAGTAATTGTAATGTTACAATCAGTTGTTTTCCAGTTGCATGATGATAACATATCAGGCTCAAGGCATAGAAGAAGCTTACAATGCACAGTTTTCATAAAGTTGTCATGAATGAAATTATTTCAGTATTTAGATATTTTTTTATTCAGAAAATTAGCGAAGAGTCATCCTTTTTTTGGCTCATCACATGCAAGCTTTAGCGAGTGTAGTGTAATAACAAGGAGTACTCTTTTCTCCAACCTAAGTAGCATATATTGGTACCGCTTTTGGAGGCACCGTTACGGCTTTTTGATGGAATGTGCGCTGACATTCAATTACTAATAAGTTAACACAAATGATGTGTTTTTGACTCATCAAATGAACCGGTAAAAAGCTACTTCTTTCAAACAACAGCTCAATAACTAGAACTGCATTTCAAAATTTTCCATCTCAATTTATCTCGCAATCTATTATCTATCTATTATCACGACATTATTTTTCACTATCTCGCCACGCTTAAGCTTTTTCAACGTAATATTGCATGTTTAGCGAAAGAATTTTTTCACGTTTAGGCCATTTCGTATATTGCAATGGTTAAGATTTTTTTTCGGTTTTCCAGTTTGGGTTGAGTGTTTAATTAACCGAGTTTAAATTTAGCAGCCTAATTGTGGAATGTTGTCAGGCTTCACCAGGGGTTGACCTCCAACTATGAACGCCCAATTTCTTTTAGTGTACGAGATATGATGATTTATGTGCTTTTTTCATAGATTTTCAGAAAACTAAAATTACAAAAAAAAAACCTCAAAATTTGAAATTCCCAGCCCTGCAATTGGGTGCTGTCAGAGTACTCTTAAGGATTGCGAATTTTGCCTTCAACTTTTATTGCTCAAAATTGTGTAGTTTTCGAGATATGACGTGTCTTATGACTTCAAAAAAATTTCAGAAAAGAAGTTTGAAACTTTTTTTTTCAGAAGTTGAATATCGTAACTCTGTAGTTGGTGGTGACAAAGTACTCTCAGGGTTTGCAAATCTTGCCTCCAGATATGATTGCTCGAATATTTGTAGTTTTCCAGATTGAAGTTTTTTCTGATTTTTTTTGAAAAATTTTCAGAAAACTTTAGTTTAATTTTTTTTCTTAAATTTGCTTTCTTAACCCTGTAATTGGGGCTGTTGCAGTAGTCTCAGAGTTGCGAATCTTGTTCGCCCCTAAGATGACTGCTCAAATTTTTGGTATTTTTGAGATATCACGTTTTTAATGGTTTTTGAAAATAACATTTTACGCTTACGATTTGCAAGCGTTATCAACCTGGAAAATAGATTTTTTTCTATTTAAACAACTAGTTTAACAAAAGCAGTTGAATCATTTGCTCACTATTGCAGCTGACTTCTTTTCTTTTTTATTCTTCTCTTAACGTCGGCCAGGTTGCTTCCCCTTGGCCTGGAGGTAAAGCAATTGCCTTTGTACACTAAGGCCTGGGGTATGAGTCGTGTCCGGACCTTTTTTTTCAGTATCAAAAAAATGGAAAAAAAATTTCGAGAAAAATGAATTGCTGGTGTTTTGTTAGTTCGCTCAATTTTTGTTGGCTAAATCGCTACAACGGATTTTGTTTGTGCTGTAGACAATTATCATTGTAGTTGCAAGTGCAAGTGTTGTTCATTCTAATTTCAGAGTGGAACTTGAAAGATTTTTTAAAAAATCAAAGAATCTTTCGGTTCAAGTGGTTTCAGCTAAAAGATTGTTGACATATGCCACGTTAATGACCTTTCTGGTATTGTAAATATTTTTTATTGTAGTTGCAGGTGCAAGTGTTGTCCATTGTTGTTTACGGTGGTACTTGAAACTTTTTTTATAAAATTATTTTCGTCGGCTTTGTTTCCTTTTTGTAAATTTTGTTCCGATGTTATTGCTTCAAAATTCAGTTGTCTAGCGTGTTTGCCTGGAATGAACTTCCATGGAGACATAAGAAATTTAATAAAACCTAGTTTTTTTCAAAAGTTTTTATTTTCGGCTTTTCATGTTTTTTTAATGTTTGTGTTGTATTGAGAATGGTGGGAAGCTCTGCTTCGCTTTTGTATTCTAGTAAGTATTAAGGAATTAAGCGAGGTTTCGTTTATTTAATTGTGACGTTTTTCTATGGAAAAATCTTTAAAATCGTTCTTGAAAGTTTTTGTAGTTTTTTTTTAAATTCCATTTTCTTGCTCACTCATTTTTTTTGGAAGAAACACAAATCAAGTTTCAAAAGCAAAAGTACAAAACGTGCACCAGTTTAGTTTTTAAGGTAGATGTTTTTGCGCAGAACATAAAAAGGTCATCTATTGATATAATTTCATCAAATGGAAAGTGTGCTTCAATTGAATACTAGAATTTTCTTACCTGTAAACAAATTTCATGATTGATGAGTTTGAAAGTAATGGCAAATTTATTTAAGTGGATGAAAGTCATTCAATTAATGTTATGAAACACGTATATATTCACCGACTAAAAAGGAATAGTTAGAAACTTTAGATGGTTTTCAGCTTATTAGGCATCGGATTAAATTCTGTCGGCGCAGAATCTTGTCTGAGAAGCTTTGAGTCTTGTAACCATGAGCTAGAATTTTTTTCTGTAAACATTTTTTTCATACGAATCGTACTTCCTTTTCGTACTCGTTTTTTGATTGAACCTTCGCAAATTCCTAGTTCGCTGCTACTTGGCTTTGAGGCAAGGTGGTCGCCTTTGCAACCTAAGGTTTAGGGTTTGAGTCCCGGCCGGACCTTTTTTAAGTATGTATGAATTAAAAATGGCTTGCGGAAACAATTGAATAGTCAAAGTTTCGTTTGTCTGCTCAATTATTGTCGGCTTAGTTACGATATCACTGATTTTGTTTGTGCTGTAAGCGATTTTAATGTTGGAAGTGTTGTTTACCCCTGCAATAAGCAAGGGTATTGCAGTCGGGTAATAGACTTTTTTCACCAAAATTAACTTTGGTCACAGTACCCATCGAATCCTAGTGGTACCTTGGTTCCTTACGAGTTCAAATTTCTTTGTGTCTGTGACACACTTAGCCTATAGTAAAGAATAAGCCTGGGGCGGCAACGGTACTGGGTTCGAATCTGACCAGCACCTGCTTTTTTCATACAGTAAATACTCCGGTTCAAAATTTTTTTGCCTATTTGTCTGCATATATTTTGTCGGCTTAGTTGCCAGATCTAAAAAAATAGTTTTTTTCCTGTAATTAATTTTCACTGTAGTTGAGTTGCGTTAAGTGTTTCAGCATTTTAAAAGTCTGGCCGAATCGAAATTTTTTAAAAATTGGTTGTAATTTTACGAATTCGATTTATTAAAATTTCGTTTTTCTATTTTTCTTTGAATTTATTCAGTTTTGTCGGTTTTGCGACCGAAAATGTTTTTGTGTGTGTGTGCGTGATCTAATGGTAAGTGAGACTCAATTTTTTAAAATAATTTTTGAATTGAGGTAATTTCTGTTTTGCTACAATTTGGTAAGTTTTCTTCCGATGCTATTTTCGTATTCTGTTGTCTGAGCATGTTGTTTTCAAGATAATTTTTTGTATGATAGATCTAGTTGTTTGCATAGTAATAAAAGATTGATATTACGCTTTATTATCGATAGTATGATTTTTAGCTTTCGATTCGGCTTTCGTGGCTACTATTTGGGCAGTACGTTTTTTTCCAATAAGATTTTGCCGAACAGTTTTGGTTGATTTTCAGCAACTTTAAATTTTTGAATGCTCAAATCCAACGCAATTTGGAACTCTTTTAAAGTTTTTCATATGTTTAAACATAAAGAAAATTTGATTTTCGTTTTTTATGATTTTTTAGTTGTTTCTTCAACGATAACAATGTTCGAAGTCTTCTTGGGTAGTTCTTGAGTGTTTTGCTGCTTCAAATTGCAAACCTTCAAATAGCTGAGCTATCGCAAGTGGCGCGAAGCTCAGCTTGGTGTAGAAAGCTTAAATTTGATTTTTCTGGAAATTTAAAAGAGGAGTTTCAAATCTTTTGTCTAGTTGCGACTGCTCAATTGATATTAGTTTCCGAGTTGTCACGTTTTTCGTGTCATTTTAATGCAAATGTTATTTCCAATATATACTGTTTTTATGAGTTGTCGAAATTTCGAAGCACTAAAAGTGCATTCCACGCTAGCGGTTTTGAAATGCATAAATTATTTTCTTGCGATAGCAAAGGTATCGCAATCGGGAACTAGTTTTTTTCCCACAAACAACTTGGTCCACAGATGTCGACCTGCATGCAGTACACGCGTATATTTGTGCTCACTTCTTATTGTGCCTTCACTGTGCATTCTTATTGGTGTCCTTAAATGCATGCAGTATATGCATCCATATATGCAAGCAGCACTGTGCATCCTTACTAGTGTTTTTCCATTAAATTCGCAGTTCAAGTTGGTTTTTCTTTATGATTTTTTTTTGAATTTTCGATTTCGTCGCTTTCGATTTACGTTTTGTCCTCTTAGTTTCCGCTTTGTTTTTACCATCCCACTAAATCGGCTCTTTGATAACTTTAACATTATAGTTGTTTTTCGTGTTCTGATTTACCTCTGCTGTTGCTTGTATTTCTTAAACCTTGAGATCGTTTATCTCTTTTTTCGATTAAAAGCTTTATTCTGCCCAAATGATTGCAGCCTATATTTCATTGGCTTAGTGGCCTAATTTTGAGTCGTTTCAATTGAAACATTTTCAACGCTCACCTCGGGATTGCTCAAAATGCTAAACATCCTAAAAGAAATTCTTTTTTTTCTTTTTTTTTCTTTTGTTTCGGCTTGATACGTTTCGGCTGATGTTATATCGGCTTAATCGGCCTCATATTGCGTCCTTTGACGAACGAAAAAAGTGTGTGTGTGTGTGTGTGTGTGTGTGTGTGTGTGTGTGTGCGTGCGTGCGTGCGCGTGTCTGCGTTCTGAGAGCGCGGGGGCTTAATAACTTGTTATAGGCTTCGGGCTATATTATATCGGCTTAGTTGTCTCGTACTGTTTTATTTGACGAGCAAATAATGTTTTTGATTG